GGAAGGCAGAAGGATTTTTGGTGGGAGAAGGAAGAATCTGAATAACAGAAAGCAAACCAGATCTTGTACTGATGCCTAATTGGACAAATACGCTGAAGGAAATGGAAGCATGGCATCATAGGTCCTAAGAGTTTTCCAATCTTGGCAACTTGCTGGCTGGGGAATCCTAGGAGTTGAAGTCTTAAAGTTGCCGTGGCTGTGAAATCCTCTTCTAAAAGAAAAGTAGCTTTATTAAGTCTGGGGCCTTTTAGGGCAAATGCAAAGATGCCATTGCATGCATGTAACTGCTTTCCCACATCCCACATCAGGACAGACTGATGGCATAATCATGATCCAAGCATCCTGGTACCGTTTTGATTGTAGCGTAGTTCCAGATCATTGTAGAAAAATGAGAATAGTTTCTCCTAACTTACCAAACAGTAGTTCAAAGGATAATTGCCCTGTATCTTCTTATATAGATAAGTGGCCCTTCCTTCTTTGGCCTTATTTCATAAGCAATAATTTCTTTTTTTTAAAATTTTGTTTTTAATTATTTTTCACCATACACCATACACCCAAACAAACTTAAAATACATAAACATAAATCTTTTCTTTTAACAGAACAGTACTATACATTTTAAGCATTCTTTACATCTTATTTACATTTTATGTACATGAATAATTATGTCTTTTCCTTTCTCTGTTCTAGCCAATTATAACATTTATTCCAAATTTCATAAAATTCTGTCGCCTCCTTGTCTTTTAATTCTAATGTAAGTTTGTTCATTTCTGCGCATTCCAAGACTTTGTACATAATCATATCATTTGTGGGAATATTTTCACTCTTCCAACATTGAGCATATGCTATACGAGCTGCAGTCAATATGTGTATAATGATGTGTTGGAGTTGTTTTTCCATCTTTAAATTTATTATGCCCAAAAGAAATAATTCTGGTTTAAAATCCATTTGTATCTCAGTTATCTCCTGTATCCAATCTCTTATTCATTCCCAATAATTTTTGAGCAATAATTTTTAAGGCATTATTTGATCTGCTTGATGAGAGTTTGAGATCAATCCTATGTCAGATGATTGCATACACTTTTCATGAGTCATGAAATTCATTTTCACTCAGTCCTGTTGGGTCCATTGAACTGTTTAGAACACCCGAAGAGCACATTTCTCTAGGTGTTGCATTCAGTGGTTTGTTCTTAAATTGGAATGTAGATTGCTAGCCTTGGTAAGTGCTATTCATTTTATTCAGTACTAGTTTTTTAGTGTATGGTTTTATGGTGGAATTGGATGTATTTCTTCTAAATCAAGGGTGGGCAACTATGGTGCCTTTTCGACCTGTGGATTTCAACTCCCAGAATTCCTCAGGGCCATAGTTGCCCATTCTGTTCTACATAAATATGTGCATTTTTGTTTGTTTTTACCTGAATTTAAGCCACCCACCATCAATGTTTGGGATTGCCTATAAATAGTTGAATAGCCTTTTCAGTTATCTACCAATATGTTTGTGCTCTTTTCTATTCTGTGGCTACACTACATATGACTTGCAATTTTCCTACCACTTAATTTACCATCAATGGTTTCCACATCCACATTTTTCAGCCCTTTCAATTTTTCTCCACTATTGCAATACCTTAATGGCTTGGATCTTGAATTCATTATATTGCCTCTTATTTCATCTCCATTGTACATGTTAGTGTTTGTGTCTATCTACTTACGGTTAGAAGATTACATGTCAAATCTTCTCATTAACAACCTGGACTGGTGATTTTTTCCCCCTCAACTCATGTGGTTTGAACTCATGTGGTTTGTTTCTGTAGTTCAGCCAGTTTAAATGCATGCCTTGACTCTTGATTGCTATTTTTTTTTTGGCCTTTTCTCATTGTGGTTTTTCATAATCTGTACAATATTTCAACTAACAGTTTTATTAAGGGAAGTAGTGGTATGTGGATATATGCTTGGCAAATACTGAAAATGCAGCTAATGTATCTTGGGAGCTGTTGTAGATTACAAACTCACCATACTGTATAACCTGTGTCTACTTAGTTTGCCTTCAGTGGCCTTATACAATGTTCCTCAATGAACAAATAGGTGTTTTGTTGCTGTGTAAGCACGTCAGCTCACTCTTATGTACTTTTGTAGCATATCAGAAATGTATTTGGCATTTTGATTTTCATGTTGCGCCAAACACATATTGGTGCATCTGGATACCATTGGTTCCATCTGAGCAAGCATGCTTATTTCATAGAATAAGCATGTTGGAATGTCCTACATCAATCTTCATTTATGTATCTAAAATAACAATTTATTCTTCTTGGAGGAAAAGTTACTCCTTTTCTACTGTTAATTCTTTGATATCTCAGAAGTCTTTAATTTCCTATTGTTCTGAAAACCCAATTTTGAGCCAGCTGATTTTTATCATTTTAGCAGACCTTTAGCTTGGCTTATTTCCACCAGTTTTTTTCCAATGATTTGGCCATGTGGAAGTAACTGCTATTCTAGACTTATTCTAGTGTTCTTTTCTACTTAAGATAGCCAAATGTAACTGGACAGCTATAAAAACAAGCCTCTTGTCATGTAGCAAATCAAAGGCCAATTCATACTGTGTTTTTAAGGACTCCCTTGAATTGATCTTGTCTTCGAGGCAAGAAGGGCCATGTTCATATAGTTTTCTTGGAACAAAAGTGATTTGCACTGTCTCCCTCTGTGATCATTATTCCAGTTGTCTACAACAAATCCAATATTGACTAACAACCTTCTAATTTAGCTCACATCTTGGGATTTCCTAATGTTATTCAGGAAACTAAATGCAAAATTAGCAGCAGAAGATTATGAGCAGAACCACTACCATTACCTCCTCCTCCTCCTCTGAGATCTAACAAGATTGGCTAACAGTGCCACCTCTGTGACTACATATTTGAAATAGATCAAATGTACATTGTGGAATGGTATCCTAGGCCAGTGGTGGTGAACCTATGGCACGAGTGCCAGAGGCGGCACTCAGAGCTCTCTCTGTGGGCACTCACATCATCACCCCAGACTTACGTCCCCCATGGTGCCTTCCTCACCAGCAGCCCCCCCAGAGGAGAGATGCCCCCAAGTACAGCCGGCGCAGAGCAGCACAGCCAAGGACATGTGCTTGTGCCCCATCGTGCGCAGATGATGCTGCGGGGTGCTGGCGGAGGGCATGGCCACCATGGCGCTGCTGGGCCACCTGGGCAATTATGCGGCAGGCCGTGGAGGCAGTGGGTGGCTCTGTGGGCGGGTGGAGCTGGGCTGAGGGCGGAGCGGGTCAGAGAGGGTGGGATGGGGCAGAGCGGGAGTGGAGTGGGGGCAGGTGGGGGCGGTTTTGGGGCACTCGGTCTCTAAAAGGTTCACCATCACTGTCCTAGGCAGTAAATGATTGGCAAACCTTGCAATGGGTCCCTTGCTCACAGGAAAGACATGTAGGTTGAATGAAGTTGAATGCTGGGTAGCCGCTGTGAAATGCAAACACCAATAAAGCACCTACCAGATCAGTTATCCAGGTAGTACTTCTTATCAATATATTTCATCAGAACAGATATTTCGGTAAAGAACCAAGGAAATGAATAAAAAGTTAGAGCATATATTCAAAAAATGTGCAACATTTTTGTAGTGTCACTATCACCTAAAAATCTGAATCTGGAAAAGGGAGCATGTGAGACTGAGGTTAAGGCTGGAAGATTCTGTTGACCAAAGAGATGTCTCATTTGGACCGTCAAAAAAGATCTGTATGATATGTTACGCAGTAGATACACAAAACATTTTATGTTTGTATTTAGGGGAGAGATCCACAGGAGCAGTTCTGATATGGACAGTTTGAAATCCCGGGGACTGGAATTACCTAAAACTATGTAAAGTAATTAGAAATTTGCAGATTTTTAAGATCTTTAATAAGAAATAATTCAAAGCAATCAGCATTGGAACTGGTTATGTCATATTATATTTTCTTAATTTCATTACAGCAGTGTAAAAATTGGCAATTATGCAGTTAATGGTAGGTTTCATGTCTTCTGAGAGAAGATTCATGTGGAAATATGGGATCTTCCTGGGGATCTATTTATTAGGGGCAACTTAAATAGACCTAATATCCCTGTAAGATGTATGGTGTAATAATCTGTGCAAAATGGTTTATCTTTCTTTGTTACCACACAGGTAGATGTGCTTGATTTAATGGAATTTTAGGTACCTGCCTCGCTGTGTGGGTTGTAAGCTAATTGTGCCTGATTTTAAAGAATGCAGTTCTCATTCTGGGGAAAATAAGGTTCTGTAAATATTGTTCCCAAACGCCCTGATTTATCCAATTTCCGCCATGTAGAAGCAGCTTATTAATTTGTTAACTCCATATCTTGTATGAGCAATTGCTTAGCTTGGTCATTTCCTAGGGAGATTAGGAATGGTGTAGAAAACTCATATAATGCTAACTCCTGCTGCATAACCTGTTGCTTGGAGAAGGGAAGTTATCTGTGAAAATTAAAGAGATCGGTCCAGTTGGAAAAAAAATTGGATTTACAACCAGGAGCTTATCCCCATCTTCCAGGCCTTTACCTGGATTTTGGACACTCCTCTCTCAACTCTTAATTGAAGGTCCATTCAGTGTAGTGGGAACTCAAAAAATGTGTTTGCATTGATTCCAGCACATTTTTTGCATAAATTCTTACTTCTGTGCTGCAGCAGATTTGGCTTCAGAGTTTGGTGTCACAAGGGATCATTATATCTTCATCTGTGTAACAAAAAATGTTTAATAGCATTTGGTTTAACCCCAATAGCATTTGGGGTTAAAAGCAGCAGCCTGCTCTATTTGTATCCTTCTGCTTTCCAGAGCAGAATTTCTCTGTTTTCATTCAAGATCCCCATGTTAGCAGTTCCTTCTTCAATTAATGAATACTACAGTTTTGAAAAGTTGGTTCTTCAGTGTGGACGCAGAAAGAATGTATCAGAGTAACTGTTTACTTGTGTGCTTGTGTGTTTTTTTACATTTTTTTTTAAGAAAAGAAAGTGCCAAACAGACCTTTGAGAACACGCTTCCGTTCATCATCTGGCAGGTCGTCCATTCAGTGGAGACCATCCCATTCGGCAGACTCAAGCCCGCGGAGATATCCAGGTTATCTTCGTGGATATTGGGAGAGCAACAGAAAAATGAGTTTTAAATCTCTGCCAAAAGAAGAAAGAGCCCATTATGCTAAAAAAATAGGTGTGTATCTAGTGAAAGTTTTCGATCATCTGCTTATTGTTCTCGCTGTTATGTTGTTTTATGTGCTATGAAAAATCATTTGATCTCTTCTCCTCTTTAATGTGTTTGTTATTTCATTCACCAGAATGAATGATTATATCATTCATTACCAATCATAAAATTGATTATAGTAGTTCTAAACTGCGAAGAACAAAGTCAAGCCAAAGTTCACCCTTGGCCACCAAGAAATAAAATAACAATTGTATGTTATAAAAAAGAGGAAATATGATGGGGCACTCAGAAAGGAAGGCACATACATTGCTAATAAAAGACTTGATTAAAATTGCAGTGACTTCAAATAAGAGGTATTTTTGCAATGTTACAATTAAGTGGAACATTTGCAACCCAAGTTTATTTCACTTCTAACTTACCTACATCAGAAATAAATTCTGACATATATTGCTAGCTATTTATTAAATTAATTAATTAGTTGGGTGGGGTTGATGGCATTCATATCAGAACAATGAAGCTTCAGATTGAGGCAATTTTTTCCTCTTTTTTTAGTTGTCAGTGTCTCACCCCTTTTTAATGTGCATCGCTTGGATTGCACACATATAAAAAGGGGCAGATCTTAGATCCAGTCACACCTGCCATTTTGATATTGTTTCACCCTTGCTAAGGAGACCCCTGGCCACTTTAGCTGACAACAGTGGTACTAGTGCTTGTTCTGACTGCAGTGGTTGTCAAGAGCAATCAGTTACAATTCTTTGAAATGGAAGCTTTCGTTCTTAACAAGCCAAGCACTGTTGACTTTTAATCTTTGCAGTAATAAAATGTATTAAAATAGTGTATGTGTTTCCTGTTGTTGTATGCAGCATCTGAATCAGTATATTTGGTTTCACCGCATTCAAGAAACTTTCAAGGGCGGACTCAACCAGTACATCAGGTTGTATTAACCAAGAGGAAAATCCCAGGTCAGTTTTGAAATCAGCGTGCAAACTGGCAAGACATATTATTGCATAATGACTTTTTTTTTTTGCTAGAAAATAAAATTTGGCTACAAAGTGAAAATTAACAGAGGGCTAGAATCAAGAACATGTGAAGTGTTAATACCACTTTATAATACCTTGATAAGACCACACTTGGACTACTGCATCCAGTTTTGGTCACCTTGATGTAAAATAGATGTTGAGACTCTAGAAAGAGTACAGAGAAGAGCAACAAAGATGATCAGGGGACTGGAGGCTAAAACATATAAGGAACGGTTGCTGGAATTGGGTATGTCCAGTTTAATGAAGAGAAGGACGAGTGGGGACATGATAGCAGTATTCCAATATCTCAGGGTTGCCACAAAGAAGAGGGAGTCAGGCTATTCTCCAGAGCACCTGAAGGCAGGATAAGAAGCAACGGGTGGAAACTAATCAAGGAGAGAACCAATCTAAAACTAAGAAAATTTTCCTGACAGTTAGAATAATTAATCAGTGGAATGTTTTGCCTCCAGAAGTTGTGAATGCTCCAACACTGGAATTTTTTAAGAAGAGACTGGATGGCCATTTGTCTGTAGGGTTTCCTGCCAGAGCAGGGGGTTGGATTAGATGACCTCCAAAGTCCCTTCCAACTCTGTTATTCTGTTATAGTTAATACAAGGGAAGACAATCTAGTGCTTTCATATATTTTAGACCACAAATCCCACAATCTCTTAGCATCAGCATATACTGGTCAGGATGATGGGAACTGAAATCAAAGAAGGGAGCACTAGGCTGCCTATCCTCTATCTAGGAACTCCAGAGACCCACTGTAGAGATGGCTAGACAGATTTGTGCTTTATGCTACATTTAATTTTAAATTGTCTTGAAACTGTTACGAAGACATTTCGATTGTTATCTTCATTGGAAAGTACATCTGGTACGTAGTTTTGGAAAAAGGCTTCCAGATAACTGCTAAGTATTTTATTTTTCCTTGTCCAATTTGTATTTGGGTGGAACCAAATATTGTGCATTGCAGGCTTGGAAATATAATAAAAAATAAATCATAGCATACTGTGTTGTTTCCTCTGAAGATACTGCTTCAAAATAAACAAATAAATGTGTAAATAAGTAAATGTTTTTCTTAAAACAATTTTTGGTGGTTTTAGAAATCTGGGATGGAATTTGATGTTTTTCTACTTTTGAAAGTTAAGGAGGAGGAGAAAAGCCAATTCAGACTATTTTTTTCCACATATTGGATTCTTAGCCAATAGTCAGAATGCTGACTCTTTGTCTAGAGGAATTTGGATCTAATCCTTACCCCACTGACTATGTAAACTTCTCCCTTCTTAAATCAACTTCCATATTCATGTCCCAAACACTCATAAATCCCATTGTCTCATTTCAGAGGAAGATGGATTGGAAGAAATGAAAGACATTGCTGTTCGAGTCATGTCCTCTCATTCAGTACTGGTCACATGGACAGATCCCTTCAGTGAAAAGCAGAAAAGACCAATCCCCTCTAGGTACTAAGCATTATCTGGGCTCTTTACATAGGCTTACCACAGGTATGCCAATTCTAGCTTGTTGCTTGCAGATTTGGAAATCTAGCATGGCTGGGCAATACTTCAAGGAAAAACAAATCTAACTGATTTGTTGCCCCTTAACCACAGAGCCAATACAACTTTACAGTCCTAGTGCCATGTCCAACATAGGGACAGTAATTGAGTGTCTAAACTCTATTGTGAAGCTTTGGGCAGTTGTCTCAAATTAAAAGTATTTCTTCCATGCAGAAGATTGTTGTGAAGCATTCTTTAACAAGATTTGTTGAAAGGGGTAAAGTTGCAAGAATTTCAGCAAGTGAACAATATCTAATTTGGAATCATTATATTCCAGTATATTAAGTTGCAGTCATGTAGACTCTCTTAGTTTCTCTTTAACTACTTTATATGAATCAGTGGACAGGCATTTTTTTTCACTGATGGAAAAATCTGCAGCTGGCTGTTTACAAAGCCATCTCTTAAACTTTAGGCTTGCTGGATGGCTGTAATGTGGAGTTCAATATGTATTAAATTGAATTTCATTTTGAGATTATTCTTCTGCCATCACATCCTGAAAATTCTGACCAAGAGTATTCTGCTATCCTTGAAGAATTTTCCAGGTTCTTCAGGGGTTGAGTGCACAGTGCATGTAAAGTAGTCATATCTGAACCTTTGCTGTTGTGCATTGGGTTAATCCTGCATTCTTCTGTCACATTATTTCTAGGCAATACACTGTCCGTTACAGAGAGAAAGGGGAATCGGCAAGGTGGGATTACAAACAAGTATCCAACAAGCGGGTCTTGGTGGATAAACTAATTCCAGACACTATGTATGAATTTGCAGTTAAAATCTCACAAGGAGAAAGGGAGGGCAAGTGGAGTGTTTCAGTTTACCAAAGAACCCCAGAAACCGGTATGTATTCAGTAGTATCAAAATTGTGCCTGTTAAATCTTTTTTGGAATTGTTAAGGTTCCAGTCCAAAAAAACCCAAATAAAATCATCACGTTAAGCTAATTTTCTTAGCAACAATATGAACATGATTTGCCATTACTTCTCCCAGGATAGGGTTTCTACTTTCCCAGTCTGACATACAAGCTCAGCGTCTGCTTAGCTTCTGTTTTAAAATCAGCCAAGTAAGAGCTACTATCTAGTTGGGTAAAGCAGGCATACTATTTTATATGTCAGTTTGCTTTTGATTTTCTTTAACCAATAGGACCAGCTGCTTCAGTAATTTCTCAATAAAAATAACTCTCTCTCCCTCTGGTCTTTAATTGGCTATCTGTCTGTCTTATCATCAAAGCAGTACTGTACTGACAGGCATGCATGGGTTTAGAACAGGGGTCTTCAAACTTGGCCCTTTTATGATTTGTGGACTTCAACTCCCAGAATTCCTCAGCCAGCGTGCCTGGTTTAGAATTTCTCTGAATTGTTTATATTATACTGTAAAAGTGTAGCATGGATAGCAAGCAAACCCCAGCATTTTGTAAATGACAGGCATGTTTGGAAATTGAAGGACATGTGGTAGATGCTTTTGTAAAATATCTACCAGAAGGATGCTTGCTGTCTCACTGAATACCTGCTACATGTTTATAATCAATTGCAGAGCATCATTTTATCAGATAGCTCTTTGCCACTCATCAACCCCCCCCATCAGAATGTTCCCTATTCTTTAGTTAGTGTCCTATTCCTGGCATGAGGGCACATTTCCAAATTAAAAAACACTAGATTGCAGTGATCCATCACTTTTGTTTTATAAGAAAAGTTGTGGGTTCTCTTCAGAGTCCAGAGGCATTACTGGAAATAAAAAATTCTAGAGGCAAATATTTAGGAATGAAGCATCCCAGTGTCTCATATGAAGAAATATGGGAGATAAGGAGCCTATTGGGCATTAAAGGAAGTGTTTATTTATGAACCTTCCTTCCTTCCTTCCTTCCTTCCTTCCTTCCTTCCTTCCTTCCTTCCTTCCTTCCTTCCTTGTACCTTCTCCTTCCTGTATTTGCTGTTTATTTTGCAGCTCCTGCTAGTGCCCCAGAAAACCTCAATGTGTGGCCAATTAAAGGCCAAACTCCTTCTGTTGTGGCTACCTGGGATGCCCTTGCAGAAAGTGAAGGAAAAGTCAAAGGTAAATGGGGGAAATAAATTAGAGAACCTCATGTGCTGATTTCATTGAGCAAACAAAAAAAAAATGGCAAAAGGAGAAAACTACATCACAATCCTGATCTAAATCAGCAAATTGAACAGATGCATTGCCCTCAAATGCCTCTCCCTTTTTTTAGAGAGGGATGCAGGGGTCTGAAACAACATTAGCAGTTCACATTGTTGCTGGGAGGCATTCATATGCTGGAAAGCAAAAGAATATAGTTGTACTTTGAATTCTGGTATATCTATAATCTAAGTCAGGATGACACCACCAGTTTTAGGATTGCAACACTGAACACACACACACCCCAACTCAAGTCTCAGCAAGCTGAAAATAGAAAGCTTCATGGCATGCCACCAACAAGCTGATATAATTCCCCCCCCCAGGAAGTAGCCACTTCCACCCTAGGAACCAGTCCCGACCACAATGGCACAATAGTGCAAAGCTAGGAATGCAGCTGCTTGTGGAATTTATGGCCCACAACACAAAGCAACAAGGGGAAGCTGCAGCCGCTTTGTGTTCAGCCACTACAGTGTGGAAAAGCAGGGCTAGGAAAGAGCCAACTTCCCAAGTGCTCCTTCTAGGCATGGAGACACACCTTCAGAATTAGGTGACTGTGAGAAAGAGGGCATAGACAACAAAGTTCAAGAATGCAAGAGAAATGGGGAATGATCATTCATTCATTCAATTTCCCTTTAGAGTTTTCAAGAATATAATTTTAAATTCAGACTTGCATTGTGGCTCTTGCTTTTTTAGTTTGGCAGTTGTATGGGGCTTGACTCTGTCCTTAGGGAAAAACATTAGGGTTGCTGGCCCACCTGTCCAGTTGAGGTCCCCTCCACAACTCGGGCCCATTCCTTCCCATATCTCCTTGCAGCCTCAGCAAATGAAAGGGATTGTCACGTACAGCCAATGGGTTGCAACTTTCAGAACTTTGACCTAAAAATGATACAGAGTTTATGGAAAATATAATGAAATGATGGGTAGAGATAACACTCAAAAATAATCACCCAAGCAACTGATATTAAAAATACATCCAGCTCAAGTACTTCCAACTAGCAAGCAACAGAATTGTTTCATTCTGTAATCAGAAACCCTTTTAACATCATTTACTTTTTTAACTAAAAAAACAGAGATGCCAATTTCAGAGTGTTCTACGTCCTTTTCCATTTTCATGTGAAGTCTGTTCTTTGCTTGTTTATGACTTAGGTGTTGGATTTGTAAAAGAATGCACAAAAATATTTATAAATTATAAATTACACTTATAATTTGAAAATAATACCTATTCAAATAAAGGCGTGCTATTGCTAATAGGCATCAATATTGTATTCTATTAGCTGCAAAATCAGCTCTTTTCATATTGCAAAGTCAACATGAGAAATAAACAGAAGGCAATCTTTAATATGAAAAAGAATGTTATAAACCCAAAAATAAATAATACATAAACAGAAGATGCATATTCATTAGTCTTATGACAATATTGATGGATCGCAATTCCATGGCCTAAAGTTTTATTTGAATAGTTAATTGATATTGTTCTCTTACTGTTTATGCTTCCTAAGTTTTTTTTCATATGAATTCTGAACTATAAAATTACAGGCTATGGGGAAAGATTACATGTATGAATATTTTTTCAAACGGAAAAAAATCTGCATCATGAATAAAGAACTTTGAATGAAAACCAATCTCCCTTATAATTTCTTCTTTCTAGTGTTCCAAATGCAAATTGTTTTAATGAACTAGAAAAGTCATTCAGTCATACTGTATTATAAATTTGTGAAAACAAGTCTACTTTACATTGTTTTTTTTTCACAAAACCCTTAGCAACGTTATGCTTTGCTTGTGCAATAAGGATTGCAAAGGGAAGAACAATTTTTTAATGAGGTAACACGTATCAAGCCTTAGAAGTATCTTAGATGTCATCACCGGTGTCACCATCCTTATGGATCTTTAGTCTTTGTTTTGGATTTAATTAGTTTCATTCATGTTGTACATGCAATGTCTTTTCATGCTGAAGATAGCAGTGGTAGTATCAATACTAACGCCCTGGGCAAGTGAATATGTTCATCTTAGTGTAAGTTCATCTTATACACACATACACAGACACATATACATACATAGCACACACAAACAAAATGTTCAACTTGTATTAATGTATATGTACTAAGATGAACAGATTCACTTGTCTGATACATTAGAATTGACTGTCACTGCTACCTATATATATATATAAAATGCAGCATCTTTTATACCCCAGCTTTTGTCTTGACGTGCATCGCCAGTGTATTAATTTTAGTAATGCACGTTCTAATTCATCCTACCCATACAGTCTGTCCACTGGAAACAGGATTGTTTTCAGTTTCCTACTTCCAACCGTCTGCCAAATTGTTTCAGAATACATTCTCTCATACGCCCCGGCACTCAAACCCTTCGGCGCAAAGTCCATTTCCTACCCGGGAGAGACTACATCTGCTTCAGTGGAGGGTCTGCAGCCTGGGGAGCGCTATGTTTTCAAAATTCGTGCTGCAAACAGAAGAGGCCAAGGCCCTCAGTCAAAAGCCTTCAGTGTTGCCCTGCCAGCAAGTAAGTACAGTGGCTCCATTGTTCACAAACTTCTTATTGCCTTTTTTAAATTCATCACATCTTGATAATTTTGGAACAATCCCTGCTCCTTTCCAGATGATTGAGTAGTTTGAGGGGGTAGGCACGGGATAGGAAATCTTTAAGGCAGATACGGCTCTTAAATCTCTGTCGTCTCCTCTCCCACTAATTTCAGACCCCTTTGCTGGCCTTGGAGGTTTTTTAAAAGGGAGACAGGTAAATGAGGTAATAAAAAGAGAAAGAGTGAAAGCAGTGAAGAGGACTTTGCCTATATAATCAAAGGTGTGCTGTTAATATTTAAGAGCTGATTACTGGCTTCAGCAACCAGGCTTCTCCATAGAACATCTGAGGGATAAATTAGGCATTGAGGCTCATCTCTGCTGTCAACTGGCTCAAAAGATTAAACTATATATATTAACAATTGGCTCTCAGAAGTCAGCTCCTGCACACCCTGCCTAATACCCTACCCATTAGTGGCTTCAGCTGTACCCCTTCTTGCCACATACTCTCTGAAAAAATGTTTTTGACAGAGCAAAGTTTTCCCATGTTTAGGCTCATGCAGCCCTTAATTGGATGGATCCTAAAACATGTCTTTTTTAGGCATAATGTTCTGCAGGGATTTTAAGTTAAACTCCAGAGCCTAGATCGGGGTGTCAAACTGCCGGCCCACGGGCCAGTATCATCATACCAAAGCCGTGCCCACCCCATTGCCGGCAATGCAAAAAGAGTTGCAATATGTCATGACATGTCATGTGACGTGGTGAGTTTGACACCTGTGGCCTAGTTGGTGGCAGAAGTTAGGCATATTTCATTGGTTAATCCAGAAGCTATATATGTACTATTTCCATTTTGCACTGGGTAATTAAAATATTGTAAGACTGTGAAAATTAGAATGTTCAGGAACAAATTTATATCATCAAAATGTTTTTCTTTGTTTCCTGATTCCAATGTTTGACTATATTCCCTAAATAAATATCTGAGAGCTATATTTGAAACTGAATAATATTTTACTTTGATAGTGATCATATTGTGTGGCATTTAATATCAGATATAATTTCTAAAAGCACAGCTGATGGCATTTAGTTTGTCCTAATGCTCAGTAACTAACATTTTTTTCCTTCCTTACTCCTCAAGAATAAAAAAGCAGTAAAGTCTAGAACAGTGGTTCTCAACGTTTGTGTGACGGCGACCCCCGCCACACAAACGTTATGCACATGCGCGGCGCTGCGCGCATGGGGGCACTGCCCCCATGCGTGGCGCACATGTGTGGCACCACCCCATGCGTGGCGCACATGCACGGCACCACCCCATGCGCGGTGCACATGTGCGGTGGCGCCCCATGCGCAGCGCGCATGCGCGGCAGCGCGCATGCGCGGCAGCGCCCCCTGAGGGGGGGAAATGGCGGATCGCCACCTTTGGCGACCCCCGAAAAATGGTCGATCGACCCCAAATGGGGTCGCGACCCATAGGTTGAGAACCGCTGGTCTAGAAGTCTTTAAAAATTGATGTGTTAAGCTAAATTTTCATATTCAGAAAACAGATTTTAACAACAACAACAACAATAATAATAAAGAGGGAAGGGACCTTGGAGGTCATCTAGTCCAATCCCCTGCTCAGGCAAGAAACCCTAAACCATTTCAGACAAATGGCGGTCCAGCCTCTTCTTAAAACCTTCCAATGTTGGAGCATTCGCCGCTTCTGGAGGCAGGTTGTTCCATTGGTTAATTGTTCTAACTGTCCGGAAGTTTCTCCTTAGTTCTAGGTTGCTTCTCTCCTTGATTAGTTTCCATCCATTGCTTCTTGTTCTGCCTTCAGGCGCTTTGGAGAATAGCTTGACTCCTTCTTTTTTGTGGCAGCCCCTGAGATACTGGAACACTGCTAACATGTCACCCCTCATCCTTCTCTTCATTAAACTAGACATACCCAATTCCAGCAACCGTTCCTTGTGTTTTAGCCTCCAGTCCCCTAATCATCTTTGTTGCTCTTCTCTGTACTTTTTCTAGATTTTAAAATATTTTATTAATATTTATATCAGCTAGAGATAATTAAAATGCAATATGTTTTATTAGTAAATCTTTTCTTTCTTTCTTTCTTTCTTTCTCTCTCTTTTCTTTTTCTCTTTTCTTTTTTTGATAATTGTTTATTTTTTATATTTGTTTCTCTTGTGTCTTTGTTTAGCCAATGTAGATGAATTGAAGATGAATCAACGAACAAATACAGAAGAAGATTTGGAACCTAAAAGGTCTATGAAAATTATGCCTTCTTCCCCTTTTCTAACTTTTCTACCATCTTCTTCCCTTCCCAAACATACAGAGGATGAAACAAAGGATCTAGGACAGGACAGACCTAACCTTCCTCCTGTCCCTAAAGCTACTGTAGATAATTTGCCTGTAGATAATGAAAGTAACAACCAACTAGACAATCTGGAGGATAAGCCTAGAACTCCAGAAGAGAGCCATTCAGTTTTACTTTCAAGTAAGCAACTGTCTGCATCCCGGAAGACAACTCATAGTAGACCCACCAAATTGCGTTTCCCTTCTATATCAGTTAAATCTCCTTCACCAACCGCAGCTGCAAAGTCTCAAAATCATTCACATCACTTCTCTTACAAACCAATTATGCCTGATACCGGCGATATTCTTGAGAGTGATAAGAGCAGAGGAACAGAAAAAAGAGAGCAGAAATTAAATTTCAGGGCGTCTTCTCCCCAGGGAGGTTCATCTCCATCTGTGCAAACAAAGCCTCTCACATATTCTAATCGCCATGCATTGAGAGATCCAAAAATAACTACCTCTGCTGTTTCTGCTGCTGCTACCCATACTTTACCTCATTCACGTGTTTTATCTTCTGATAAACATAAGTCCAAGGGAAGAGATAATTCTGATGATAGTGAAAATGAAAAGAGTGAAAGAGAAGATGAAGAAGACAAACAAGGGTCATCGTATTCTAGACCAAATTTTAGGCCCTCTTCAGGCCCGGCTACCTCGGAACGCTTTGATTTATTAAAATATAGATCTGTTATTACTTCTAACAGATTTGCAAATAGAGCTACCAATAATCATGATGCAAAAATGCAACCACCCAAAGATCCTTCTGCTACACAGCCTTCCAAAGTCCATCCTCAATTTAGTTCTCGTATAGCATCTGGCAGTACAAGTCTTAGATCTAATTTCAATATCGATAAAAAACAGAGGAGTAAAAATGAAAATCCTCTACCATCCACTCCTCTCCGTAGTTACTCACCACCATTTGCTAAGCAGTCTTCTTCTGTAGATGATTTCAAAAGGAAACCTGTGGCTGAAACTAAGAGTCGCCACAGAGTTACACCAACTAACAAACCTAATCTTGTAAACACCCAAGAAAATAATCATAATAAAGAAAAAGAAACCACAGATACAGATTCCTCAAGAATATCTGTAGAAAAATCATTTCCTCTACATTCTCCTACTTCCTGGTCTCAACTTGATGATGGCAAGATCAAGACTACATCTCCTAGGACAAAACAAACATCATCTTTGTCAAAGAAACCAAACACTGCTTTATCCCATAAAATTGTACAGTCAGAATCCATTCGTTCCTCAAAAGCATTAACTGATTGGGCACAAGTCCGATCGTCTTTAAACTCAAGAAGTGATCTGATGTTGCTTTCAAAGAATGACAAAGAACTTACTGATAATGACAGTTCAGAAGACAAGGAAACAAATGTTAAAGAGGAGCAAAGAGGATCTCCTTTAACACCTGCCAAAGGAGTTCCCATATCTAGAAGAATATCTACATCTTTGTCTCAGGGAAGAACCCGCTCTCTTTCAAAGCATTTTAATTCTCGGTTTGATAGAACTGATAAAAGATCTCCAACTCAGTTACCAGAAAAACAAGCTGGGTCAAGGGTTATAACTTCTACTGAAGTTACCTCTAATATGTATAAATTGCCTTCATCTTCACAAAGATCTAAATATGTACAACCGACATCTACCTCTTCCAAAGACACAATCAGAGACTCTCAATACAGTAGAGAAACTTCTTTGAAACAAACTCATCTTTCAGAGCCTCATTATCCATCTGGGTCTAGAATTTCAAGTAGGGTAGCATCCCAAATAAACAAAAAGCATGGACTTTTCCAGCCAACCCCTACAAAGGTTGAACTATCTCCAAAACAGCCCTCCTCTAAAATACATCAATCAATTTCAAATAGTGATGGTGATTACGAAGACTATGACCGATCAAGTGTAGAGAAAGATCCTATTTTGTCTTCATCAGCCAAGACTTCACAAATTTCTAACAAACTGAAATCCTTGCCTAAATTAAACTTAGCTTTGCCACAAACCTCTGAATCTGTGTCTTCTCATAGTCGCTTGACTTCTGATGTTTCTCCAACACACTCCTCAACTTCTCCCTCAGTGCCTCCTATTCAACGAATACAGAACTCAAGATTATTAAATCCTTCTCAACGACATCAATTTCGATTTCCTCATAGACAAGGTGAAGTATAATTCATAAACTTTCTATTTAAATTGAAAGAGAAACGTTTTACATTTGGGCAGTAAGAATCTCATTAGGGAAACTGGTTTTGGAGCCATCTCCTAGTTTTGTGTTATAAAGACTTGTAGTCTCTGAACTTTTGCACAGTTCTGCAGACAGATAACATTGAACCAGTCTTTCAGTGAAAATCTTCTCACTAAGAAAGCCATATTTTTGTGTAGGAATCAATAATCATATTAGATAGTCTTAATTCCTGTAAATGTTTTTTAGATGTTTCACATAGTGCCTATCCTAGGTTAATTAAATAAACATGTTTATTAGATAGCACATAAGTTTTACATACTTAGGTAGTATATAGAATTATAAAGCAAAGCAAAAAAAATCTCACGAAAATTTTTTTACTATATGGATGATATGCATATTTAATTTATGATAAAAAAGTAGATCAGGTTTTTAAATCCCATATTTTAAGAAGTGCTTTATTGCGTGTCTGGAAGAAGTATTATTATAGGTTAAATTATAAAATACCAATTTGGGGGATTCCTGACACGCGATAGAGGGGGTATCCAGGGGTGTGAACTTGGATAGGATTTCTTATAAGGAATTACTTAGATTGGTAGGGAGTGATTGGCAATTAAAATCGTTAGTTGAGTTAAAGCAAGAAAATATGGTACAGTCTTGGATTCAGTATAATCAATTGTTGGTTAGGTGGAAGTTATATCAAAAGGTTGGTATTACTTTAATGGATGAGAATTTGGTAAAACAGATTAAAGATCAAAATCGAGCGCATATGAAGAGAATTTATAATGTTTTAATAGAAATGGATTCGGAAACGGAATTAATTAAAGATTGTATGGTAAAGTGGGCTCAAAATATTCAAGAACCGATTCTATTGGATACATGGGAAGTAATTTGGGTTAGAAATGTAAATTTTACCCAGGCACAAAATTTAAGAGAAATTTTTTATAAAATGTTTTATAGATGGCATCTGGATCCTAAAAAGTTGTCTTGTATGTATCCTAATTTACAGCCCAAATATTGGAGATGTGGTAATTTGGAAGCCACTTATTTTCATATATGGTGGACTTGTAGAAATATAAAAGCCGTTTGGATTAAGATCTGGTGGAACATTCAACAGATTTTTAAGAGAAAGATAAAATTTACCCCACAATTATTTTTATTGGGTGTTATTACAGATTGTGATGTTAAAGAAATTAATTTGATGTTGAATTTGATAACAGCTGCAAGGTTATTAGTAGGGCAATATTGGAAGAAGGATTGTTGCCTACTATAGAAGAATGGACGATTAAAGTGTCAAATTTAGCAGAAATGGCTAAGATTTCTGCTTATTTGAAGGATCATTCACAAGAAAGATACATTTCAATCTGGAGAAGATGGATAAATTATATTCAGAATAAATATGGGACTAAAAAGTTTCAGTTAGCTTACGAGTGAATTTTAGAGTATTATTATGAAATTATTATTATTTTTAGTATTAGTATTGTTTAACTATTTGGGGACTGTATTGTTTAATAATTAGGATATTAATTTGTTTATGTTCTCATTATTATTATGTTCATTTTTAATTTGCTTATATTTATGTTAAAGGGGAGTTAAAGTGCATTATGGATTTGGTTATTTATATAGTTGGTAATGTTGGTTAGATTATGATTATCATATTTGTAACCCTGTATTCAGCTCTGGGAAGTGGGGGAGGGAGAGGGGAGGTTTGGGTGGGTTAATATTGTAATTTTTATAAAACTTTTTAATAAAAAAAAATAATGTGTGATGAACATGTTCTGTAGGCAAATGTAATGTGTAAACAAACAGTAAAATAGTAGTGGCCATATCAAACATAGAAACACATTTTGTAGAGATACATTTAACCCCAATATGATTGGGTAATCTAGTTTAAGCAGTATATGTATGCCTGAAAGACACTTTTATGCATGCTCATTTATAAAATGTATTTTGTCATGTTGGAATGATTTGAATTTAATTGTCATTTCCCTGAATGGGCAAAATGTCTGATTGTTGTATGTTTTCACCATGTATCTTTCAGGCAATGGTAGGAGACCCAATATGATGACAAAAACAGATCTAAATAATAAAATAGTTCCAAATAATAATGGAAAACGAAATGGACAAAAAATAATAAGTGGTCCACAAGGTGCAAAGTGGGTAGGGAGACTTTTTAAAATATCTGAAAGATTTTATTTTATATTCCTTTGAGTTGGAGGGCCTTTCAATCAACATATTGCTTTCAGATTGTAGATCTTGACCGAGGGCTGGTGCTGAACGCCGAAGGGAGATATCTCCAAGATTCCCAAGGAAAACCTCTCAGAGTAAAATTAGGCGGAGATGGCCGCACCGTCGTTGGTATGTTGCATTCTTATGTTCTATGACAGTGTTTCCCAAACTTGACAATTTTAAGGCATGTGGACTTCAACTCCCAGAATTCCACAGCCAGCAATGCTGGCTGTGGAATTCTGGGAGTTGAAGTCCACATGCCTTAAAATTGTCAAGTTCGGGAAACACTGTTCTATGATGAAGGCCTTTTTTTTGTCCAGTAAACTTCCCAGAGAATTCTACATTGTGATAAATCCTGAAAGTAAGTAAATTATTTGTTTACTTACTTGATTTATATACCTGCCCTTTTCACTTTTATGTGACTCTAGGCAGCTTGCAATAAAACAAATGAAAATGTGAAATGGATACAGGGAATCCTCGACTTACAACAGTTCGTTTAGTGACCATCCAAAGTTACGACGACGCTGAAAAAAGTGACCCGTGACCCTTTTCCACGTGACTGTTGGACCATCTCCACAGTCACACAATCGAAATTTGGACACTAGGAGTCGCGTCCTGGAGCCATGTCATCACCTTTGGCCACCTTCCGACAAGCAAAGTCAATGGGGAAGCTAGATTCACTTAACAACTGTGCTGCTAACTGCAGTAATTCACTTAACAACTGTGGCAAGAAAAGTTGCAAAATGGAGCAAAATTCACTTAACAACTATCTCGCCTAGCAACAGAAATTTGGGCTCAATTGCGGTCAAAAGTCAAGGACTACCCATAATAGAGAACCAAAATAAAAACACATAGCAATTGGGAATGATCTAATTCAGGGCTCTCCAACCTATGGGACATGGCCCACTACTAGACCGTGGCCTACTCGCCCTCCACTCACCCTAGCCTGCGGACCCATTTGCGCATGTGCACGGGACTAGCGGCGGTGGCTAGCACCTGCACAAATGGGGCCGCTAGCATCATGCGAGTTTTGTGGCCAATTTTCATATGCACACGGGGGCTAGCAGCAGCAGCTAGCACCTGTGCACATGCGCAAATGGGGTCGCTAGCTCTGTGCGGGTTGCACAGCCCGTTTGCACATGCATGCTGGGCTAGCAGCGGTGGCTAGCACCTGCACATCTATGCAAACAGGACCACTAGGTCTATGTCAGTGCATGTGGCACCAATTCCGTATGCGCAAATTTCCCAGCTGCTTCCTTTCCCTCCGGGCCTCCAGCATGAAAAGATTGGTGACCTCTTATCTAATTTGCCATCCATACAATCAGGCTATGGGTTCTAACTCATGCCCAGGGCTCCTGGCTCGAGCATAAAACCAGCTTTTCACAGCCTTTGGATTGGATGGAGCCAATTTAAACTCAGACGGAAGGGGGGCCATAGCAGAAAAAGGCTCTCCTAGGCCCTGCCAGCTGACACTCTCTTGCTGATGATACCTGGAGCATGCCCATCTTACCAGATTGGACAGGGCAGGTAGAAACAATTGGAGCAAGATAGACCTGTAAATAACCTGGCCCTAAGTCGTGAAGGGCTTTAAAGGTGAAAACCGGTAGTTTGAATTGTACCTAGAAGCATACTGGAAGCCAATGCAGCTCATAGAACAGAGGTGTCACATTATTCAGATAACGTACCTAGGACCAGGCAAAGGCATCTGATCATATGAGCCTTTTTTCCCCCCACCTCTCAATAAAACTCTTCTGTCAAGCAAAATGTATACCAGGAAGCCATAAAAAGATTTTAAAATGTGCTTCTCTGTTTACTGCTCTTTGGATGTCAGTGCATAGTTTGCTGAAATGGAGCCTTTACACCTTCTGCCCCCCTCCCCCGCAAAAAAATAAATGATTTGGGTAAATGTGTCACTGCCTTGAATAGCGTTCCTTGTGAAAGATACCACTGGCCTTTTTGTAGTTTGGTGACACAATCTGGTCTCTTTTCAATATCTGCTGTATTTAATTGGATAACAGTGGTAGCCTCAAGAATCTGTTGTTTCTCACAAAATTAAATAAGGTTGGAGAGGACTCGTAATGGCTGCTGTGTGTCTTACGAAAGGCATTTTGATCATAATGAATAGTTGCTTCATCAGTCTTTTTATTAAAAAGTCTGTGCACCATATGGAAAAGAACGGTTGAAGCTAAAGAAGGCTGCCTGGAAGAAGTCAGTATATTAGGAGGGGGTGCTAAAGATATAAACATTTTGTATGCAGGCATTCCTCAACTTACAACATTTTGTTTAGCGACTTCTCAAAGTTACAACACTGAACAATGTGACTTATGACCGTTTTTCACAGTTATGACTTTTGCAGCATCCCCATGATCATGTGATCAAAATTCAGATGCTTGGCAATTGATTCATACTTATGATCGTTGCTGTGTCCCAAGCTCAGGTGATCACCTTTTGCAACCTTCTGTCAAGCAAAGTCAATGGGGAAGCCAGATTCACTTAACAAGTGGGTTACTAACTTATCAACTGCAGTGATTCACTTAACAACTGTGACAAGGTCGTAAAATGGGGCAAAACTCACTTAACAAACGTCTGACTTAACAACAGAAATGTTGGGCTCAATTGTGGTCATAAGTTGAGGACTACCTGTAGTACAGCCCTGAGAATGATTACTTAAATATTCAGTAGTTCCGGCATCTTAAATGGCATGTGTCCAGTTTTCTAGACAAAGACCTCACTTAAATCCAGTACTTCCCAATTCCTAATGTCCTAAGGCAGTGATTGAAGTACATTTCCCTCTTCTTGTCTTCTGATAGATTCTAAAGGAGCTCCAGTAGTAAGTCCAGATGGCTTACCTTTGTTTGGACATGGAAGGTTTAGCAAACCTGTAGCAAATGCACAGGACAAGCCAATAATAAGTCTTGGAGGTAAGCCGTTGATAGGCCTTGAAATGGTTAAAAAAACCACCACTCCTTATACAACAACAACTACAACAACTCCTGAACCTACAACGACTCCTGAACCTACAACTACAATTGCTACAACTACTCCTGAACCTACAACTACTGAGCCACCAACAGAGAAACCACCACCTACCTGTCCTCCAGGCACCCACACAGAGAATGATGAACAAGGGAATCTTGTATTAGACCCAGATGGTCTGCCTGAATGCTATTCTGAAGGTACCCTTTCTTACGTTGGCTAAAGATCAGTAATACCTTTGAATATACCTACATCAAAAGTTGTGATGCGGGGGAAAGGCATCTATTTTCCAGCAAGGCTTTACAGTTGCTGGGCTTACCAAACAGGTAAGATTCAAGCTATCAAAAGCTTGAATTAGCGGTTGTGGAAGAAGAAACAATTCCTCGTTCTCTCACATCTGTTGCAACCACAAATTGTTGAGCTGTTCAAACCAGCAAAATGCAGAAACAAGCCCAAAATTCTTTAAAGCGTGCTTTAGGCAGATGTAGACCTTTATGTAGGTAGTTTTTAAGCAAAAGTTAAACTCAGGAGAAAAACATTAACTATACAAAACAGTTCATTTTCAAGTTGGGCTCCTGTTCTGTGGTAAGCTTGTATCTCATCAGCCCTTGAGAGCATGTTGCATGTAATAATATCTCTCAAACCTGACTTCTGTCCATAGAATCAGTGTCTAAAGATCTCATGTACATTGATCGTACAAAAGTCACTTAAAACTCTTCTGTCAGTCCCTATAATGTGTAGTATCACTTCCCACACTGACAGAGCATTGGTATAACTGACCATTTATCAAGGATAAGTTCTCTGCTGTGTATCCTTAATTAAATCTTAAGGAAAATGCTTCGGATTTTAGAAGAAGAGAAAGATTTTCCCTCATCATTTGAAGGAACAGAGAAGAATTTTTTTCCTGTTCACATTTGAATGCCCACTTAGTTTGTTGTTTATTCAGAAACCATTTGGCTCCTTTCTTGCTTTTTGGGGGGTAGGATTTCACTCCTGAAGGAACAGGAGGCAATCTGGTGGTTCTGGACTTGCAGGTCCTGCTGGAACAGCCAGTGAAATCCAGGACAGAATTTGTCCAACTTCAACGAGTTTGCCAATTGCAAACATACGTGGAGCAAACTTATTTAATTAATTAATTGGATTCCTATCCCATCTTTATTATTTTTATAAATAACTCAAGGTAGCAAGCATACTCCTTTCTCTTCCTATTTTCCCTCTGTGGAGTAAGTTGGGTTGAGAGACAGTGATTGCCCCAAAGTCACGCAACTGGCCTTCATGCCTAATGCATTAGTGACGGATGCTCGTGCCTTTATGACGCTGTGCTTGAATTGCGATCGTGCACAATAGGCTACCTTTGACTCCTCAGAAACTCCTGTTGGACCAGAACGTAATACAAGAGCCAGTTCACCAAGGTAACACTTATACTGAGTTGGTTGCCAATATGTTTCCAGTGTGCTAGTTGTGAAGTATAAAGCTCTTATGACCTCAGGACCATCTTCCCCAAATGGATGATGCCCAAACTGTGTGTGTGTAAATTGAGAAGCTGTGTTGAAGATTTCTACCCCCATCCCACAAGCTGCCTTATGGACAGCTTATACCCTGGGCCCGGGATAGCCCCCTTTCTGTTGATTTCTGAGAAGGTGGATTGGACCTTTGGAGTGTAGAATGCAAAATATTGGATCAGCTGCCATTTATTTATGGATGGTTTAATCGGTTGGTTTTACTGAATGTGTTAGTATTTGATATGTGAAATGTCCAGAGTTTTACACTGGAGTGGCATATATTGTAAGTACTGTAGAGGGGGGGGAGAAGTGATAAATAAGTAAATGCTATAAGTAAATAAATGTAACATCATGAAATGGTTACTTACATTTAGCAGGGTGATAAACTATTTCCAAACCTCACCTACAAAAAATGCCTCTAAGTGTGGGATCTGGAATCCTTTAAAGGCAACCCAGAAGAAACTAGAGTCAAAGGACTAAACAATTGACAATGATTTTGAAGGATAAACCAAAATTGCAATGTGAAAGCAAGAGATGGCCAAAATTTTCTTATCTCCAAAATGGTATTAGGTAAGTCAGCATATTTTGCATGTTTTATTTTTTTCCTGAACAGCATTACTTATTGGTTTTTAGTACCACTGTAGAGTTAATTGCAACTCCTAACAACCTAGCCAGTATGATCTATGATAAGGTTTACTAGAAACTGGATATCAGCAACATCTGCCATGGACTTTGCTGTTTATAGAAGCTATGTTGCACTGCAAATTGTTTTAAAAGTTGCCTACCAATCCTACATGCAACATTAAACAGTCCTCTCTCATGCAACACTATTTAAATTATGAGTATGTAATTTGCTCTGCTAAGATATGTAACAGAAACAAAGAAAGGCCATTATTAAAAGGGAATTATAGCAGTAATGATCATAGGAAGAAAGTGCTAATTCAGTTTTCCCAACCTGGTGCCTTCAAAATATGCTGGTCTACAATTTCTATAATTTCCACATGTGTGGCCATAGATCAACACATCTGGGAAGAACTAATTTGATGGTAGTTTTTCTAAAGCTAACTACTGTGGGTGCATAAGATAAATTAATGAACAGATTACTTACATTTAGTAAAAGTTAAAAAAAATGGCGAGCCAAAATAATTCTTTAGCTCTTAGAAAACATTATCATTTCAAATGGTGCTTTTCAATAGAGAGAAGACAAACCCATATACATATCTGTTGTTTTTTAAACGTTTCCTGAAAAGTTATATGCTTGCTCTTATGAAAGGCTATTGGTAGAGATTTCCAGTGTTCGTGACAGAGAATAGAATTTTTAAGCCATCATGATGTTAGGAGTATAAACAACAATTAAAAGTCATTTTTAGAAAACTATGGTTATAAAGAACCCACAGATTTAGTTCCCTCGTGTTATCTTGAATTTATGTATCAATATCTGTCTGTCACAAATGAAAGCAAATATATGTGTCCCAAGATAATGTTGCAGGATCCAATCTGGGTCGGTCATCTCTGCTCCGGTGACCAACCCAGATTGGATCCTGCAATATCCACCTGTCTTTCTAGAGCATATTTTATATTTTATGACATGTTACAGTGGCTCAAATAAAAGGGAGGACAAGGTGGATAGAGGGGAATGCCAACATGGGCATGATGTGTATGCTGCAATTCATCTATTTCCCTCAGCTGTCCTGACAGAAGTCTATAGTGGCAGCTTTTATATGATTATAAAAGCTGCCAGTGACCTAAGAGGAGTCTACTATATTGATTGTCTTGGATGCTTAGAATTCTCAGAAGAAAAGTGGAATATATGTCAACAACAGCAGTACAGTAATAATAAGAAAAGTCTTAATACTGATATTAGAACTGAAAAAGTCAACATAGTGCACTTGAACATTTCATGACTCATAGTTTAAAACTTATAGGATCGGGCAGTACATACGTATTCTAAATTAAGAAAAAGACTAAGAAAAGGAGGGTTTTCTGAATTATAGATGCAGAGAGAGTAAATGAGAACACAGATGTCAGTGGAATTCTCTCTGTAATAAAAATTAATGTTTATGTATGCAGAGAAGTTTGTTTTGGTGATGCATATGCAGAGGAGACCTGCCTAAATCATATTTTAAAATGCAATCTCTCTGTCTCTCATCTTTCAGCTACCACTTCTCCAACGGCCTTAACATTGCTCTTTACATACTGTCATTCATGGTTGAAAGCACAGCAGTGCAAGAACCAGTTTGGAATATACAAAACCTGACTCTGTTCAAAAGACCAGGATTTCAAGAACATTGGGTTTTCAAGTTATTCAGATGGACATGCCGACAGGCCAGATGTTCAGTGAGCTATTTTTGCTATGGACTGATTGAGCACCTGAGGTGTCCCTGGACAGCTCTCATTGAATGTGATGAGCATTTTCTGAACACCCGCTAGATGACAGAAGCAGTGGCCAATGTGTTGCAAGAATGTTATCTATCCCTGTGTGGTGTTGGAGGATAGATAACAGCTTTACCACAGTCCTGCCAAATGCAATCAATATAATCTTCCAGTGGCCCTTCCAGAACGTTCTCTTAGGATGGAAAAATGCAGCAGCATCTTGGGTCAAACACGTTGTCATTTCTCAGGAATCCGATCAATTGACAGCTTCCAAATGGACTCAGGGAAATGCGGTGTGAAAAGAATGCTGCTGTGGGTTTTGCTAAAATCCTTTGGTCCAATTTTCTCCTTGGGGTTTTATAAAAATGAGTTTAGCAGAGACGGTTGTGTTCCACAGACAAGGAACATTTGGGAAGTCCAAGTGATGCAGCAGTGAAATCCCAGACGGTTCAACATCTTTGAAGAACTATAGTCAACATTAAAAACCACTTTTATAACTGCTGCTATCATGTTACTGGAAAATAGAGGCCCGTAAACATGAACAGTTATGAGCTTATTAAGGAACCAGTAGTTTCTAAGCTGCTTTTTTTCTTTTTTCTTTTTTTTTTAAAGCTTAGTAAAGCAAGCATTCACTTGAACTAGCTGCACTCAGAATTCACAAGACTGTGGATGACCCTTTAGATTACCTTTTCTGGTTAGATTATCCTTTTTGATCTTTTATACATGTTGAGTTGAGTCTATGGAGAGATCTGGGAAGGAAGGAAGTGGGTAATATATGCCAAAGAAGAATTACTGGCAACTCAGCTATAGAAAAATGAATGGTCAATTTTGTTTTGCCCTTCCCAGGATTTGCTTTGGCATGGCTCCTAAAACTGTATTTTTCTTCTTAAGTCTGAAAGTCACCTGAGATGAAGTGACAATGCTTAGGCTTATAAATGAGGAAATTGTTCAGGTTGTGTTGCAATTGATGTTGAATAATCGAAGTGGACTAGTTTGGATTTACCAGCTTCCAAAATCTTCCAGAGATGTTGGACAACATTTCCCATCATCCTTTGCCAGTATGCTCATTGGTCTTAGCCAACACATTGAAGAATATCAGACTGAAGAAGACTGGCTTAACAATGATTCTGATTCATGTGAATTTTTTTCTAGCATTTGCCTATCGTTTGGGTGGCAATGAGTATCTTATATAGACCTTTAAAAGTGTAATATAGTAACCCCAGACAGACATGATAGGTGTTTCTAGATCTATATCTGCCATCTTTTGTCTCATTGTGCTGCTTACAGATCAATATTTATAACTTAATGTTTTGAAATAGATTGCTGTTAAATATGTTTAACTATGCAAAAAAAATTCTAAACTTTCATTCTGATGAAAGAATGCAGAAAAGCAGGAGCTGGGGTTGCTTCTTAATGGTCAATAATTATTCATGGAATATCCTTCCATCCCTCTATTTATTAATATCATGTAAGTGAGTAGCTAATGCTGATTCCCATGGGAAAACAGATATATTGCAGTGAGGGCAAAATTCAACAAAATGTAAACAAAATATCTCCTCCCCGCCCAACTTTTCACTACCATATTGGCAGCTAGTTAGATGGAAGGTGATATTTTGGCAAAACAATGCACCTGAATTTCTCTCCACAAATTCCCACTTGCTCTTTATATCCAAAGCAGTTCAGCATAGAAATCAATTTGTTGTTTGATCGACACATTACAATAGAAGCCATTGGCTTTAGATAGGGATAATCACTAGCCATTGAATGAAAAGGGATCTGTTTCACTGTTTGAATATATTCTTTTTTCCTTAGATGTATTCTCAGGGTTTGATGCAGATATAACAGGAACTACAGAATCGTACGTGGTTTATGACGAAGGTACTGGTTACTTGAAAAATCCTTTTCCAAAATGGGTTTTACCTTTCATGTTTGCTTCTAGAAATGCATTTCCAGAAAGATATAATGAGTTTCTAAGAACACACTGGTAGCCTAGACAGAATTCCAATCTAAATATGTCTAAACAGGAACACTGACTTCCACATTCTGATTTTAGTGTCTCCAGGCCAAACAAAAATTAGCAGGTCTGCAAGCATCATGACTTTCTATATAAACATACACTTGACAGACAGAGATGTGTGTTTAAACAAAATTTTAAATGGCAATCTTTCCAACCATGTAGAAAGAGGATGGTGTAAGCAGATTTTAATAGCTGGAGGGGGCTACTGATTAAGGGTTACCTCATTCATTGCTTTCTTATATCTTATTTTTATTCATGCTCATTTTTTATATTAAGCTTGGATAATGCCATTAACGTATAGGAGAAAATAAGTAAATACAAATTGTATACCAGAAGGAGTTTTTTAATCTTGGTTTAAATGGATTTTTGTCATTAAAATTGGCATGGAGCTTTTTTTTTTTTTTTTACATAACAGAAGGCAAAACAGATAAAAATAATCAAGAGAAAATATCCCAGTGATCTGTTTTGCTCCTGGAATTAATAATATTGATCATATTTCTGTGTCTTGTTCTTCCAGAGGTTGTGCCTTCTGGAAAAATACCATAATGCTGTTTTCCTTCACCAATAGCTATCAGATTGGCCAAGGACACGTTTTGTTGTGTTTGTTTTATTCCTTGGGTCATTCAAGCAAGAAATTTAAAGCTCTCTAAGTAAACATTCCAAGCAGAAGACACAAACCATCTTGTATGAGTGAAGTTGCCCATAAAACCAACCACTGTAAATTAAGCAACACTGGACACCCAAGAGGAATCCCAGCTCACCCACCACAATTGTTGTGCAATGCCAAGAACTCTGTCCAACTTGCAGGCACACATAGCTAGAGGTCCTCCTGCGACTGTTTTAGTTGCTGAACACATGTGAGAAGGCAATCCATGATGCAAATCCATTACCATATTTTATTTGGCCAATTACACTTGATGGGTTCTCCTATGTCATTGCAAGCTTCTCTCCAATTATTAACTATCTGTCCACTTGGAGCTCTGGACATGCACAATATACTTCGGACTTCAATACCATAATTTATTTATATATCGCTTCTCAGCTCAAAGGAGTTTACAATGTAACAATTAAAATGCAATAATATAAACATGTTTAAAAGTACTATAAAAACAACGTATTTATTTTAAAAAAGGTGGCAGGAAAACAAAACAGAAACCACTTATGCAACCTTCACCCAGGAAGATTTGGGTAAAGAAGGAGTTTTCAGCAGTGATCTACAATACGTATAGTAGATTCCTCATACTTTCAAGGGCAGAGTTAAAAAAGAACAAATTTAAAATAGGACTACCAAGATGGTGACAATTGCAGAGAGTTCTGGGATCCAAGAAACAATTAAAGAATCCTGGCACAATGAGCCTACAGAAAAGATGATGAAGGGAAATATGATTGCAGAAAAGCAAGTAGATTGTTTTCTGTTACCTCAGAGAAGGGCTTTTCAACCTTTTCACCCATTGTACCACTTTTAGGATATGGCAACATCCGAATACCACCAGTCGCCTAGCAAGGTGTCAAAAACTTGATGACCCCCCCAAAAAAGGAAAAAAGTGATAAAGTACAGGTAGTCCTTGACTTACAACAGTTCATTTAGTGACTGTTCGAAGTTACAATGACACTGAAAAAAATGCCCCCCAAGCTACAGCTGAGCAAGACACCTGCCTGCCCGCCCGGCGGCGCTCCTCCTTCTCCTGTCCGAGGTTTCTATTGTTGTGAGCATTTCTGTTGAGGATTGGCAGAGGGGGTGGGGTAGGGGGTGTTTGGTTTTTATTCCCCCCCCCGTCTGCTGGGTGGTTTCAGCAAGTTTGGTCACTTCACAAGACCCTGGGACACTGTGACCGTCATAAATATGAATCAGTTGCCAAGCATCTGAATGTAAATCACAAGACTCTGGAGATTCTGCAACACTCCAGCTGATCGGCTCTTCTTCTGGGCTCAGCAGAAGCGCCAGGATCAGCGCCAAGCTCCAGCTGGAGCCTGGCGCTGATCCTGGCACTTCCACTGAGCCCTGATAACCCCGCAGCTCCAGCCATCTCTTGCTCAGGCTTGTGCAATGCTGCCACCAGTTCAGCTTATTCCCCTCCCCCACTACCATTTTTCTAGGATGGTCGCGTACCACCTGCCAGGTGCCAATGTACCACAAGTGGTACCCGAACTACTGGTTGAAAAGCCCTGCCTTAGAGGACAGAATTGGAACCAGTGAGTAAAAGTTAAAAGTAAAGAAAAAAAGAGGGGGAACTCTTGATGGTGGAAGTTGACAGTGGAACAGAATGCACATAAAATCATCAATTCTCCTTTACTAAAGGTCTTCAAACAGAGAGTGAATGGTCAGAGATGCTATGTAGACTTCTTCAATAGACGTATAAACCAAATAACTTTTCTGCTTCTTCAGTGGCCTATGACCAACCTTGGGCAACTCTTTAAACAAATGCATCACATTTTCTTTTCTTTTCTTTTGTCTAGATTATGAGTTTTTTGAAACTACTTTGCCACCATACACCACTACCACCACCACCACTACTACTACCACCACTGAATCATTGCCTGAAAACAACTTTCCAGAGTTTAGTGTCACGGGCACAGATCCTTTATCAGAATATGATTCTGCTGGAAAGAAACGATTTACTGGTAAGTCTGAAACTTCTGTTAAAAAAACAAAGATTACCAGTCCTCTGATAAGGGCTTCTGAAGCTAAATACTAGACCAGAATACTAGACTGTCAGTCTTGTCAGCAAGATTATTTTGTTAATGGCAAACATGTCCTGTGCACATCACCTGGGAACCATTTGTTTTATGAGATCATAATAAGAATCATAGTCAAATAGAGGAAATAAAAAAAACACTACTCTACACCATTGATAGAGTTATAAATTCATATTTTAAACATCTTTCAGAAGGACCGGCTTAGTGTGTTTAATGGCATCAGGACTTTTGCTGGATTCTTCTCCCTATAGAAATTCCCCCTCCCTGCTCATAAAATAAAATAAAGTAAAACTGTAAAATTCTGAATTCTTACAAAGTTATGAAATCGTGTGTATTATCATTTTTTATAATTTTATAATTTGTATAATTATCATTAATTTTTATAATTAGATTATAAAATCTAACACCTTGTACTAGAATGCTGACTTTACCGGACTGACAAAATCTTATGAGACTTTTCTGGCTTTGTGCATTTTCTTTTGAAATGTACATGATCTTGCCTGAGAGGACATGAAAAGCTCTTGCAATCTTTTCCAACATAAGGTTTGAAATGGAAAAGGCCTATCAAGGTTTGCTGGCTTTTAATCAATTCTGTCCCTTTTTACACCGATTTTTTTCCTCACCTAAACTAAGTAATTCAAACATTGTTGCCTTTTGTTGTAAAGAAATTATTCTGGTTTTCATTCTGATCTTGACAACATAGTATTCCCAATTCTGATCCTCTTTGGAAGAGCTTGGAGGAGAAAAATTGAGTCTGCTCCTTCTAAGAATAAAGCACATTCTGTGGTAAATGTTAAAAGGTTTTCCCCCTGGAATTGGCAAAGAGAAGAATATTTTCTCAAAATCTGTACAGTATTCATCAATCTCTTGAAAATGTGGAAATTATACAGTAAATGCAGTATCTTGTTCCAATGTAGACGTTGGCCTATATAGAAAGAAATGTATGAATAATTATTTCAGTCCAGTAGGTGTCTTTCAGCTGGCAATTCATTTCCCTTCTTTTGAAGAAGATTCAGCTTCATATTGTTGAAAGAAAAAATCTTCATTGGGGTCCAGTCCAAGCTGGGAATAAACAAAATGGAGATTGCTTTAGAAAGAAGGTTGTAGTTTATTGAAGAGCAGAGCCAGACAGAGGACTCTGAGAAAAACTGACCATATGTTGCTGCGAGTGTGGGCTTTTATACCTTCTTGGGCTTTTGAGGTTGTTTCCTGTTCCAGTGTCATGAACTTTGACCTGAGCTTTCTGGTATTCTGATGGTGGTGGGTTAATCCTATTATGTCCCAAAGGTCATATCCTGCTTCTCTGGGACTGTGGCTGATGGCTTACTTCCTGTGTTGGATTTCTTGGGTGAGGGGTTGTTGATTCTAGGGATCTTTGTCTTTTTAATCTCATCAGCTTCTAGCTTCCTGGCTCCAACCTTTCTGAAAGAATTGTTGAATTTGCATTTCTACAGACCTGGTTTCTGCTGAGGGGGAGGGAGAAGTTTCTGCCTTTTTAATATTCCCCAAAATATTTCTTTCTCGGGGGGGGGCTGACTTCCCACAATATGAACTTGTGATTTTAACATTATGTACTATGTTGCTACTCCACAGTTTAACTCTAAACCTAATATGAGAAGAGTGGTCAAAATAAATACCATTTCTTCAGGTTTTGTTTGTTTTTTTCATCAATACAAACCTTTGTGCATAACAAAGAGACTGGAAGGACAGTTATGAAATGATGGACATCATGTTCTGCTCCTCAGTGTAATTGCAAGCCTTTGATTTTGTTTTATGCTGTGATGCATAATTTTTTTAAAGTTCTTTATAATGCTATAAATGGCACATCCCTTACATCTATGAACAAAACAAATCTAAACTTGTATTTTTGAAAAATAATAGAAAAATGCTGTACTCCTGGATTAAGAATTGCATCATGTGAAAAGGAAAAGAAGAATGATATCCAAAGTTTATTATTATCTCAGAAGGTGATCCTTTGCAGTTCAATGTCAAGTAGGGAGATTTCTCTCGGCAAATGTTCTCTTCAAAAAAAGATTTTTTTAAAAGGTTTGCAACAGAAGAGGAAATAGCTGAATTTCCTTTCTTATGACACCATTTATTAACAATCTCTCTTTTTCACACACAAACACACAAAAACAGAGAGAGAGAGAGAGAGAGACAGAGAGAGAGAGAATTACTTTCATTTTTAAAATCCAATCTATATAACAGGACATGAAACTGCATGTAAAGTTTGTCCCCGAGAAAGCTGTTTTAAAAGGGAAAAAAGTGCTTCTAAAGATGGTTTTTCGGTGGTAAATTTGAATCAGTTTGTTCCTTTGAAGAAATTACTTTTTGCTTTGGTTTCAATCAAGCCTTTGACTAGGTATGTCTATCAAGCTGTCAAGAAGTCTTCCTTTTCTCTCACCAATGAGATCAGGTCATTTGGGAACAAAAAGCAATCCCTTCGCTTAAAAATAAATGCACACTTGGAAATAATTCCTCCAGAATGACCAAATCTAACAAGATTAACAGACATTCTTTTCTTATAAACATTTTGTCGCATTCATGAGGAGAAAAGGAAAAATTGTTCTAACAAGAACTGTAAACTGTAACAGAATAAATATTTCCACTGACTAGTGCAAAGAGATTTTTCATCCTCAACCTGACCTTTTGAGATAATATGTATGCCCATTAATTTACAAGATCTGTTTGCCTGAACCCTTCTTACTGGTGTAAAATACAAAAGTGATAAATTGAGCTGGGGTAGCAATATTCTTCATTGAACTTGGAAGGTGAACTTTGTATCTCAGGAGGAAACCATACTGGCATTCTTGCCTACTTGCTAAGTGCTGCTATTTATTTATCTTCATTATTTCTGTAGGTTGCTGCTTAAGGTTGTTTGCAAGGTATGATTAAAAAGATAAGTCAAGATTTGCAGCCATGAAAGTACAATTGAAACCTCATGTGTTTCTTACGCGTGATGCAGCCAATCAGGGATCATTTAATCGTTTCGCATCTCAGCTGTAGCTGTAGAGAAAGAAAATAACCATAAAATTGGTTCAAGTCCATAGTGTACCTTCTCTGCAGTATTCTGAGCATTATGGTTAACCCTTAAGTACTCAGATTCTAAGCACATGTTTGAAAATACAGCAATCCCTAGTTGAGACTATCATAATCACAACCATTCTCTTAGCTTTTATTTATTTTATTATTTAATTGTCGCTAATGTTAATGCTTTTATAGTTATGTTTTATGTCATTATAAGCTACCCAGAATCATTTGGATAGTGAGATGGGCAGCATATAATTTTAACAAATAAATAACCAAATCCTAAACTTTTAAGAGACAGAATTGTTGCTGTGAGGCATATGCAAATAGCAGCCTTACTACTACTTAAAAATGATACTAATAAGACCCTACTTATTTCCTAAACTTCCTTCTAAGGATGGTGTAGCTGCTGAAAGAGCCAACATTTAATACTACCAATTGCTTACCTGTTGTACTGAGTTTATTCAAAAAGAAGATAAAGCTCAATTTATGTGGGAGCATTAAACAGAAACCTAATTGGTATATAAAGTTTATATTCTGATGCTTTTTAAAAATTGGTATATATATATATATTGTATATTCTGATGCTTTTGTTTTAAAAAAAATCCAGCCTTGTAGTTGCTTGCAACTTTGTTTAATATACAGAGCTTTGTAAATCCCTTTATTTGCTGTACAGGCATTTTAATAGGTATGAGATTGTGAGGAAACTCTGATTCACAGAAACTGAGCTGCCTGCAGTGCAGTCCTCCCATTCTGGGAGTTGAAGTCCACAAGTCATAAAAGGGCCAAGTTTGAAGACCCCTGGTATGAGGGATCCTTGGTGCTCTCTGAACTTGGTTATTTTCTTGCAGGCATTTCATTATTCAAACTAGATAACATCATCAGTACATTTTTAATAGGTATTTTTTCATAATTTGTAGTTTTAAAAACAAACAAACACAGCATTCCTTTATATATGCAATATGTTTTCGGGGTTCATTTTTCTACACTTACAGAAACTTGCCCACTTCATTCATTGCTACAAATATGTGCAGTGCCTAAGCCCATTTTTGTGCATCTTTTAAATAAATCCCCTTAAATTTCTGTTTCTTTCTTTTTGTAGACTTAAAATAAATCTTCTTTCCAGTTTGCAAAGTTAGCAAATGATAGGAAAATAGACAATTCCTAGGCTCAGGAACTGTCCTTTTTAATGCATATTTTAACCAATTTGCACTTTCAATTAGTCTTGGAAAGTTGTCTGGATGTCAAAACTGAGTGTTCCTTTTACTAATCTATCACCACCACAAACTTTTAAACTGTATGATCTCCTTTTGTGGTTTCTTCCAGCTCCTTATGTGACTTATCTAAACAAAGACCCAGCAGCTCCATGTTCTTTGACAGAGGCACTAGATCACTTCCAAGTAGAGAGCCTGGATGAACTTGTTCCCAAGAACTTAAAGAATACAGGGATGCAATCTCCGAAGACTCCTCACAACATCACCATAGTAGCTGTGGAAGGCTGCCATTCTTTTGTGATTGTTGACTGGGCTGCACCTACCCATGGAGATCTGGTAACAGGTACACTAATGCTTGTTGCAAAGGTTGGACTGGTCATAGAGGCTGAATTGAACAGAACTATTTTTTTATTTCTTCTCTGCAATTTATTTTGCAATAAATTCCCTGATGCCTTTCATTCAATCATATTCCAGGTTTCTTTCCAATACAAAATAAATTTTGGCCTAAATTACAGAGCTAATCTCTTTTTAAGATGACTAAATAAATAAAACGTGTCTTGAAATGCAACTAAAAAAATATAATGTGAGGATCAGTATCTCTACTTTATATATATTGTTTTTGAGAGGCTTTATTGATTGATCTTTTAATTGAGAGGCTTTTTCAAAGTTAGGGTGCCACCATGAAAAGTCCCTTCCTCTTATAAATATACATCAGACTTCAACATCTGATAGTACTTGGAGAAGGCTCTCATTTGAGGATACATAGGCAGTCTTGTATGTGTTCTACATTTTGCTTTCATAAACACTGCTAATTTATTTTCTGGATTCAGAACCCCTTTTACTTGATGGGAAAGTCCAGAAGCTGCTAAAGAGGTAGGAAATTACAGTGTTGAAGGATTCAATACCCTTAGAAGCCTAAGATCACTTATCTATGGCTATTATTTTCTTCCTCCACTAATACAAATTTATTTATTGACACCATCAAGTCAGTCTTGACTTCTAGCAATCGCCCGGACTAGTCCTTGAGTCTTCTTGGCAAGACCTTTAGGAGTGGTTTGCTATTGCCTTCTTCTGGGGGCTGAGAGAAAGTGACATTAGGAATGTGGACATTAGGATTTTTCAAAGGTTTATAGGAGCCATATGATCTTGGGAAAAGGTCCGATGCTTTAATGATGCACATTTTGAAGCATTTTTTTCTGGTAGAATCCAAAGTGTTCTACATCTTTATTGGACATGGGCATAGTTAATGCATATAGATAGCTAATGCCTACTTGCATGATGTTGATTGATGTTCCCCACCTAGTTTTGCTGCCACGTCTTCTTGGCAGAAATAGGAATTCTGTCCAGCTTTGAAAATATGATGCTGCATGATGTATTAGGCTACTGAAGTACACTGGGGTCTAACACATCCATGTCATCTTTTTCTTGACAGGTTATTTAGTTTACAGCGCATCCTATGAAGATGTCATTAGGAACAAATGGTCAACCAAGAGTGCAGCAAGCACTAATTTACCCATTGAAAACTTGAAGCCAAATACAAGGTATTATTCCAAAAGACATGATTTGGAGGGGTGGGGAGGGAAATGGATATAGAAACACATTTACAGTTGAAAGATGTCTTGGAAATCATCATATCTAACACACACATACCACACCCATCCTGCATGCGATGGGTGTGGTATGTGTGTGTTAGATATGCGAAATCCATGTCTTAACCATTTGAAGTCAGGAACTGAGTAGACTTTCCAAAATCCCATAACCGTTATGAATCCAACTCAGTCACCAAGTCTATCTTGGATTTGTACCAGCTCTTTTATTTGCTACTTAATCTCCTCCTGTATCCTTTCACAAGTTATCAAAGTTGCAGGCAAATGCGGCAGTAGATGTTTGGGAAAGGAGGAACTGAAAATATCATGTGTTTGCTTTGTACTCCTAAATAATTTACCCAGATGAATAGGAAGTACAGTGTCCAGAATCTCTGATGAGCACAAAGATTTAGGAAGACTCAAAAAAAAAATTCAGCATGGAAAGTTAACTTAAACTTGATTTTTGCCTCCCCTTCAAATGTACTTGCATCAAGGACTATGATGTCATAATGTAAGTGATGTCATTTTGTACGTTGTCATTGTGATATCATTATGGATTGTTATGAATACCACTGCTTGTGTCCTCTTTTCCACTAAGCTCCAGTATTCTCCACTTGGAGTCTTTCATTGGAGACCAAAGGTGCCGTTCAAAAGGCAACTGGAAAGAAAGTCCAGTTGCTTTTTGAAAAGCACTTTTGGGACTACCATGATCTGGGTGATTGAGAATCTCCATAGACTTTCATTGGAGCATTTTGTAGCTGTTAAGCATTTTCCCTCTGCTCCTTATTGGGCACAATCGTTTTTGCACCCACAGTGCTGAGAATAAGGCCAAGCATCTGAGTCTGACAATACCCAATTGTGGGGGGACGTTGTAGGCAAAGATGTTCATCTTTCAGAATCTGGGGAACAATCCGGAATCACGACAACATATTAAAAAATATAGCAGTGACACTAGCATATGAGGAACTAATTAATACCAATAAAGGAGAACATGTGTAGCTCAGACGTGAAATGAGGGGCCCTTGGTGTTCTCTGAGTTTGGTTCAACCAAGCTCAGAAAGCACCAAGAACTCATTTGTCCTCAAGTCATTCTGCTCAGTTGCTTATATTTGTTAACCAAGATGCTCCTGCTCTAGACTGTATAATAGGGAAACAGAATTTCAGGATAGGATTGAAGCCTTTGCCTTTTCTTTGACAGCTAACTATCATCGGCACCACCAGTGCAGTGTTTCTCCTACGCAAACATAGCCCCTTGTCTTGTGACTTTAAAATTGCCCCTCAACCACTGTAAAATTTCTGCAGTTTAGCAACCTGAACTGGGAGTTTAAGCTAGCTTCAATCCATGTGTTGATGATTATGTGCAGATTGTGAGGAAATTCTGATTCACAGAAACTGAGCTGCCTGCAGTGCGGTCCTCCCATTTTGTTGTGGTTTCTGATTGAAGGATCTTATGCCTACTTATTCAATTGAGTTTTAGCCTTTTGCTTGTTAAATACCTGGCTAAAGTATTTTACTCTGTACAGTCATTCATTTAGTATAATTTTTTTTTAATTATAAATTTTTACAATTTTACAATAAAATCCCTCACCCACTCTCTCCCAGCCCCCCCCCAAAACCCTCCCCCCTTCTTCCCAGAGCTGAATACAGGGTTAACTAGAACTAAAAAAAAAACCATTTATACTTGAATACAATTCAAACAAATATAACTACATTCAAAAAGCAAATTTTTAAATACTTTAACTCCAATATATATAAAAAGAAGAAAAAAAAAGAAAAAAAGAAGAAAAAAAAAGACAAAACAAGTCTACATTTCTAATCATTATCTTAAACTTTAAATATAGATTATTCAAAAGCTAAATAATATTTTCTAATATCATACTTAAACTGTATAAAGTTTATCCAATAAATATTTCTCTTGCGTTTGATCTTTCAAATAAGCCGAAATTTTTGCCATTTCAGATAAATAAAAAACTTTAAAAAACCATTCCTCCAACGTCGGCAAAAATTCCTTCTTCCAATATTGTCCTATCAACAACCTTGCCGCTGTAATTAAGTTTAACATTAAAATAATTTCTTTATCATCACAATCAGATACAATACCTAACAAAAACAATTGTGGAGTAAATTTTATCCTTCTATTAAAAATTCTTTGAATATTCCACCATATCTTGATCCAAAAAACTTTTATACTTTTACATGACCACCAAATATGATAATATCATGTATCTTCCGGTTATAAAACCTGTTTGATCCGTATGTATTACTTGATTCAATATAATCATAAGTCTATTAGCTAAAATTTTGGAAAAAAAATTATAATCTACATTCAAAAGAGATATAGGTCTATAATTTTTTAGTAAAATAAGATCTTGATCCTCTTTTGGGATCAAAGATATAAAAGCCCTACCCCAAGACGGGGGGGGCGGGTGGTGTCTCTAATCCCTGTAATATATCATTAAAAAGTTCCTTTAAAGGTTCTATCATATCATCTATCAAAGTTTTATAATAAATTGATGTCAGTCCATCAGTACCCGGTGCTTTGCCTACTTTTAATTGTTTAATTGCTGTAATAATTTCATTTAGTATAAATTTTAATATAGTCAGAAATAGATTAAAATATACAAATAATTGACACACCATTGTTTTAATGCAATATAAGAGTTAAGATTTTCTTCTTCTTCTTGCTTATTATTATCCTCTGTACCTTCTAAGCTCTGCAGCTGTTTGATAACTGCCTTCTAACACCTCAGATCTTACCTACTTAAAATTCACACTTAGCAACATGTAAAAATAATCTGTAGACACTTAAGTAGAAACATAAACACCGTCACATTGAACTTAATTCCTGATTACTCTTTCCTGCCGACGTTCGTGGCAGTGTTACACCAGTAATTTGCTATGTTTTTCCAACTTTCCAGTCTAGTCAGAAGCTCTGGAATTCCTCCATCCAACTTCCAATCAGGGCCAATCCTGTTTAACCAAGGATCAGCCAAGGTTGGCTAAAAAAATTTGGAACTCAGAATCATGATGGATTGTGCTAAATCTCGAACTATGTTGCAAATTGCTTAATCTATCAAGTTTAAAATACTTTGCCATAGTGTTTATACTATATTTATTTCTCTGAAAAGAAGAATATGGTTTTATTTTTAATATAATTTACTTTAAAAATGGATAGCATTGTCTCAGCTATCCAGAGCATCTATAAACTGAAATATTCTATTATTTTAAAAAGTTGCCCTTTTTAAACAAAATCAGTTGCTTTCTTGTGAGTTGCAATTGCTGCTGAATGCTGCTTTATATATTCAGATTTTGGGTAAAATTCAACTTTAAATACTCCTTAGAGTTTTCTTATTCTACTATGATTCTTTCTTAATTAATTTTTATTTGCTATCCTTTTACAGTATTGGAAGACAAGGAATATTGTATCTAAGCTGATCTGTATTTTTTTCTTTTTGGAAAACAGACCACATGATAGGTTTTAAATAATTAAACCAGATCTATGGATCAAATAATATATTTTAATATTTTCTTCAATTAAAATTAAGGAATTTGTTTTTGCTTTCCATCATATTGGAACTCTGGTCATATAAAGTAACCATTAATGAATTTCAGAAGTAGTAATCAAGTCCAAAACCAAATAGGAATTATAATACTGTGTGCAATTCAATTACTTACTTATTTATCTTAGACTAGACTAGACTAGAATAGACTAGACTAGAATAGACTAGAATAGACTAGACTAGACTAGACTAGACTAGACTAGACTAGAATAGAATAGAATAGAATAGAATAGAATAGAATAGAATAGAATAGAATAGAATTGGAAGGGACCTTGGAGATCTTCTAGTCCTGCCGCCTGCTCAAGCAAGAGAACCTATACCATAACAGACAAGTGACTGTCTAGTCTCTTCTTGAAAATCTCCAGTGATGGAGCACCCACAATTTCTCAAGGCAAGCTGTTTCACTGGTTAATTGTCCTCACTGTCAGGAAGTTTCTCCTTAATTCCAGGTTGCTTCTCTCTTTGATGAGTTTCCAACCATTGTTTCTGTTCTGCCTTCTGGTGCTTTGGTGAATAACGTGACCCCCTCTTCTTTGTGGCAGCCCCTCAAATACTGGAATACTGCTATCATGTCTCCCCTATTTCTTCTTTTCTTTAGACTAGCCAAATACAAGTCCTGCAGCCGTTCTTCATATATTTTAGTCTCCAGGCCTTGAACATCTTAGTTGCTCTTCTCTGAACTTTTTCCAGACTCTCAACATCTTTTTTGTGATATGGTGACCAAAACTGGCTGCAGTATTCCAGGCGTGGTCTTACTAGGGTTTTATAAAACGGTACTAATACTTCGTGTATTCTTGATTCTATGCCTCTGTTTATACAATCCAGGATTGTATTAGCTTTTTTGGCTGCTGTTGCACATGGCTGGCTCAGTCAAGTGATTGTCTGATAGGACTCCAAGATCCCTCTCACAGTTACTGTTTTTAAGTCAGGTCTCGCCTAATCTGTACTTGTACCTTTGATTTTTCCTGCCTAAATATAAGACTTTGCTTTTCTTCACACTGAAACTCATTTTGTTGGATAGGGCTCATTTTGTTGGATAGGGCTCATTGTTCAGATCTTTTTTGGATCCTGAGTTTGTCTTCTGGGGTGTTGGCTACTCCTGCCAGTTTCGTATCATCTACAAATTTGATGAGTTCCCTTTCAATTCCCTTATCTAAGTCATTTATGAAGATATTGAAGAGTATTGGGCCTAAGATAGAGCCCTGCTTACTTCTCTCCATGTAGCTGTAGTGCCATTGAGGACTACTCATTGAGTACAGTTTGCCAGCCAGCTACAGATCCATCTGGTGGATATGTTGCCTATTCCACCTTTTTCTAGCTTACCAAGGAGTTGGTTGTGGTCTACTTTATCAAATGCCTTACTGAAATCTAAGTATTCTACGTCCACAGCATTTTGCTGGTCTACTAGTTTAGTCACCTTATCAAAGAATAAAATAAGATTGGTTTGGCATGATCTGTTTGTTATAGCAGTTCTTTTTCTAATTACTGAATGTAATTTTTGTCCAAAAATGAATCATTTATGATGTCAGCTCTTTTTCAACATTAGTTTTTTATTATTATTTCTCTTCAGCCCAACTTCTAGTCTGAAGTCCTGGGACCTGAACTGTATTCATATCAGATTTGTCTGTAAAACAATTAGAAATTGAAGAGGATGTTGGCAATGAGATTCACCCAATTTTGGGTAGCATTTTCTCTGTCAAAGACTATTATTTAAACAGATCAACTGAAAAATTATGGAAATCTTTCCCCAAAATCTCTATATTGATGAAGCTACTTACTAGAGTAGCCTCTAGAGAAGTGAAACACCTGTAAATAAAAAATCAAGCTTAAAGAACCCCAACAATACAATTATTCTATTAAAATGTCCTTATATTGCATTATGACTTTGTGCCTTAGAGTTTGTGCCTTTGAAGATCTGTGTGCCTTCAAATCACTGTTAACTCCTAGTGACCATCTGAACTAGTTCCTGTAGGTTTTTTTGGGAAAGATTTTCAGAGGTAGTTTGCCACTGCAATCTTCCAGGAGCTGAGAAACAGTGACTGGCCCAAACTTCTCTTTTCCTTCAATACAAGAATTTATGGCCCTTTCAATTCCACAGTTCTGAGAGTTTTGAAAGGACACCTATCTTTCAATTGGATATTTGAGAATATGGCAAGTGTCAATATATAATTCATTGCTCAAGGGATGTACTTCTCTTTCTTCCAAACAATCTGAAGTGGCTGGGCCTAAATACATGTGCAGAGGCAGCTTTTGGATATTATGTCAACTGGACATTTATCAAAATAAATGTGCACTGGTTAGCTAACAGTGCATATAGAACAACCAAGGGCTCAGTTTAAACCAGATATCAGACAGTTTATCCTTCCAGCTCAGAATTAAAATAAGGCCGGCAATTGGAGCCGCTCAAATTGACAAGGTGGCTTTTATATACTTTACAAGGGATATGCAGAAGACTATTTTTATTCACCAGATTTTTCTTTTGCCCCCAACTCTTTGGGAAGATATTGATACATCTCCTTCCAAGGAAAGTATGGGCTAATTCATGGATGTGCCCATGCCACAGAATTTAATATGGCTGTTTAACATTTGATGACTTCCATCTGTCTACATCAACCAATCTCACAGAAAGTAAACATAGTGCTTGAGATAATGCTGGATATTTAAACACTTCACCTATTATGTTTCACCACTGTCTGCTCTTTGCTCATTATCAAATTCTGTTGGTTCTTGCATGGTTTCATGACTGAATAAAACTTTTTGATGAAGCTATCATTAGAGGTGCCTCCAAAAAACCAAGGTGTATTTAATATCTTTTGTGGAACTTTTCAGCATTCCTTCTAAAGCCTGTTCAGAATTTGTCTAATTTTATTACCATAAGCTGTTATTATTCTGCCATTTTAATGGATGCTCATTTTCTGTCTTTCCTTGATTTAGGTATTACTTTAAGGTCCAAGCAACAAATCCATATGGTTATGGTCCTATAAGTTCATCTATCTCCTATGTCACTGAATCTGGTATGGTGGTTTCATATAATATTAAAATATAAAACAAGTTTTAAACTGCACTGTCAACCATAATCCAATGTGTATTAAGACTTCAGAATAAAAACAAAGGACAACAGGAATGTTCAAAGGACTATACAGTAAAGGAGGAGGAGGAGGAGGAGGAATAATGTTAAGAAATAAAGACAGCTTTGCCCAACCTGAGCTTTCTTCAGATATGTGGATTTATTTCCAAACTTCTCCGGTTAGAATGGCTATTGTTGAGGATTCTGGGATTTGAATTTGCACATCTGGACAGTACCAATCAGGGAGGTTGGTTAGAACCGAAGTAACAAAAACAAAATGACAAAGTGCTGATTGTCTCCGGCCAAACAGGAGTGAGTTTGTGCTTCAGATGTGGCTCTTTCTACGCAGAGAGCCAACATCAATGTTTTCTAATAGCTTCTCAGATTGCCCAATGTGGATTTAGTTTTTGCTATCCTGATAATAAAGAAAATGAATGGCAGACCAGTTCTATTTTCTTCTCAGGAAAACTACATGGCTATTTCCATTATTAGGTCATCAGGGGTCAATCTCAGCACAAAAAAAAAAGTTTACCTATATATCTTTACCCTTAAGTGGAAAAAAGATTAAATTAAAAAATAAAAAGAGGAAATTCCATTTCTGCTGCTTGCTTGGCAAGACACTTCACAATAGTTTTTCTTTCTTTCTTTTAATCCTGAGCAGCTGAGTAATTTGAAGCAATTGTGTCCGTAAAAAAAGTTTGGGAAACAATTTTTCTTTTAGATTTTTTCCTCCTTCTGGGTTGAAGCTTGTTTTCATTTCATAAAGCTGATTCTGTTCTTTGAAATCAAAGGCTTTTAAATAATTTCAAAATATGTCCAGTGATAGACATATTTTTCCATGCTATTTTTACTTGCAAGGTTGAGCATAGGTCATTTGGCACAATGTAACAACAAAACACAATGGGGTTAACACTTTAAACTAACTCTGGATAACTCCAAGGTTATTTTTCCTCCTAACCTTAGATTCTTGAGTTCCTGACTTGGAATTCATGTACATAACTATCTTTCAAAAATCTGCCTCCAAATCAACTCAATAGTTCTTGTTATAGATTTAGAGTAGGAATCTTTGCATATGAGGGATGTAAAAGTAATGTCCAATTGAGTACTTCCACATTGATTCCTGGAAAAAATGAGTTGAAGCCTTAATTCAGGGGTGTCAAACTCACAATGTCATGTGACATGTCGTGACGTATTGTGACTTTTTTTCCATTGCCAGCAATGGGGTGGGTGCGGTTTTGGCATGACGCAGCCAGCCCGTGGGCTGGCAGTTTGACACCCCTGCCTTAATTAGTTAGCACCTATATCTGCAAGGGAATCAACAAGTCTGCTTGACAAAGACAGCAATTACATCATTGTACCGTAAGCCTTGCCCCTTTTGTGTATATGCATAGTGAGGTCCCATGCACATGAAAAGAGGCACAGATTGAAGCATGGAGCAGTGATGTTGTTTCCCTAATTGTCTTGAAAGCACCAGGAGCCTGCAGATACTTAGGTTGATTAGATTGATTAAAAGAGACTTTTAAAATAAGTGTTTACACTTACTAAAGAATCATTTCACTGAATTAGTAGTAAATGTGTATTATATTAATACCAGTATTTTAATAAAGAGCCTGTGATTACCATCCATGGCAGTGAAAAGTTCAAATATGGAAATTTCATTGTCAAAAACAGAATAAAATCGCAAAGCAGCTGGAGCACCATTTGATCACCATCAGCATTAATAAGGTCACCATCAGTCATTTGCAAAACGCAGCTTGCTTAGAACAGCATACATCTTGCAACAATACCTTTAATACCATCAAATAATATCTACCTATCCCAGTCCATGGGAAAGGCTCAGCTGGTGGATAAAATGCCTTATCCGTTCTAAACATCTGGCTGACTGTGCAATAAACCATATTAATTTATTAAACTTGTATGCTGCCTGACTCTCAATGGCTGGGCAGCTCACAGCAATAAAAAAGCTACAATAAAATCAATAAAAAAGAGGTAAAAGATGGTAAGTACAATGAAGAAAGGGATATACTATATGTAGAGACTTTAAAAGAAAAAGCCAACGAAGAGGAGTCAAAGGAGATAAGGTTTAATGATTGTATATTTTAAAATAGTGGAGAAATTACAAAGGATAGCACTGCTTCAGGCCTCCTTCATCAGAGATATTAAGAGGAGTGGGAGCATAAAATAAAATAAAATAAAATAAAAAATGACCCTCCAGTGTAAGAAGGTGATAAAAATGCTGCTGTTTTGTCAAGTTTTTGAAGTATATCATACTGTTTTTAATTTCATTTGTTGCTTTAATTGATTTCTATATGATATTGTATGTGAGCCATTCAGAGTTTATGAAATTAAGCAGGATACAGATTATACAAATAAACAAGATTTAGAAATTACCTGTCGTCTTATTTTTGGATGCTGAATTTTAGAATAAATAATTGAAACATTTCCTTGTTATTTCCTTTCAGATAATCCTCTTCTTATTGTCAGACCGCCAGGTAAGTCTCAGTTTTGCTTTCTGGTGCTTTGTTACTTTCTCCTGAGAGTGGCATAGATTAAAACTGTGATTTAATATCTATGATGACGAGGAGAGGAGAGGAGAGGAGAGGAGAGGAGAGGAGAAGGAAGGAAGGAAGGAAGGAAGGAAGGAAGGAAGGAAGGAAGGAAGGAAGGAAGGAAGGAAGGAAGGAAATCAGTGGAAATCAAAGTTTGGAAGAGTATCCTCACCTTAAGAACCCTTATAGCATAATCACAGAACTTTATTTTGTTTGAGAGCCACACTTGCCCTTGAAATAATGAAATGACAGGTGTTAAGTCAGGACAGCTTCTTCACAGTTCTCTAACCACTGCATGAATATACTACAGTTACTCCTTTTTTCTGCTGTGTCATGATGTTGCCTTTGTCTCATCCACCTCCACTATCTGAGGGAGTCTGTTCCAAAGTAATATTTTCTCTTTTCTCCCAACATATCATTGGCTATCAGCCTGATCTGGCATGCTTCATTGATGCATGACATTCAGGAATTAGGATTCGTTCAGGTCCTATTGATCACTTAGGCTTCTGAGAGCCACACACACACACACACTTCAAATGTATAACTTGGAGGAACCAGTGAAAAAACCACAACCAAGACAATGGTTAGATAAAAGGAATTTGAGTCCAGAGCAGAAATATAATTTGAGTAGCATCTCAGACATGTTCTTTCCTAATTCTCATAAAGATAAAGGGAGAAAGAGGGGAAGCACACATTCAGAGATGCAAGATTCTGTTACTGTAACATCATCATCATCATCAACATCATCATCATGTATTAGCATTCATACCTCTAGCATCTTAATCTAGTCTACCTTAAAAATGACTAGTGGATAGCATTTTAATGGGGCCATCTGAAGGAGACCTACACTTTGTTTAAGCCAGTTTATTATAATTAGATTAGACTAATTAAAATTTAAGTACTATCAATATAATTGGCTCTCTATGTAATTAGTCATTTTGCTTTCTGTCACACTAAAAGTTCCAATATAACATCAAAATTTGATGGAGTGGCTACACTCCAGAAAACTCCAAAGAGTTCATCAGTTCTTGGAGTAGAGGAAGAGCAGAATTCTATATCTATTTATCAAGTTAGTAAACAATATTTCAGGTTAGTGACTTTTGTGTGTTTGTTATAGTTCTAGAAGCGATCTAGATTAGAATATTGCAGTGCATCTTTCCTTATGTAATTCAAGATAATGACTGCTTAACTTGACATTTAATATATTTTTAGCACAATGTTATCATACAATGGATTAAAATTATGTCTTGGAATCATAATTTGTTCCTGGGTTTTCATGTTTAATATTTAAAATGCAGAAAGTGCCAAATAATTCTTGCAAGTTGCTTTGAGTGCCTAACAGAAACCATATGGCTGGCTTCACAACAGCAACTGTAGTGGTATATGGTCGATTTCACTGGCACCTCTTCATGGGAAACCACTCTGCTGATGAAGAGCACAAGAATGTGGAATGTTGTGATCCAGATTCATTGTATAGGTCTCTTTCTCCTTTCCTTTTTCTCCTTTTTCAAATAACATTGTGGCTGAAATGCTAGGAAAAGTGAGAAGCTTGGTGTAGAAATTTCAGTCAGAGCTCAATGGGCTTATCTTTGCATGTTATTCGTCATTTGAAGTCTGTCTGTAGGCTTATGCCTTTTTCCAAGTTGAAAAGGCCAAATAGTGCTGTGGTAGGTGTTTCCCCTCCTTTTAAAAAAATATGATTCTCAAGCCATGGAACCGCTGCCACCAGTGCAAGAGAGCAGAGAATATAGGGAAAGCTCATATTTTAGAAGCAAAAGCCATTGTAAGCAAGAATGCACTTTTATGTGCTATTATATTACCTGCTAGGGATACTACTAGATCAGATGCTTAAATTGGAAGTATTTTGTGCAAATTAACCTAATGATTTCCTGCACTGATGCAGGCAGAGGTCTCTCCCACACACATAACTACCCTGATTTTTAAGGCTGAGAAGGCAGTTCTTTGGTGTTTTCTTTTGTACTTCTAAACTCTAATAATTTTAAAAATTAGGAGAGTCCATTCAGGCTTAAGTTTACATGTCAGAGCACTCAGTCTGTAAAATAAGAACAGTTGGTTTCAAAAAGAAAGATAGATAATTCCCATAATCTTTTGGAGCGTATTGCAGGTTGCCAGATTTTGTTGTGAATGTTGAATACACACTGAAGAGTTTCTTGATCCATTGTGGTTCAGATTGTGGTTTGCAGTGTAACCATTCAGACTTCGAATGAAGGCAAATATATGTGTTCCAGGATAATGTTGCAGGATCCAATCTGGGTTGGTCACCAGGACCAAAGTTTAGCCTTCTGAGCTTTTGGACTTGTGCTGGAGCCCATCTTCAGAGAACCTCTCTCTAATGGAATGTGTTATTCAGGCTTATTATTCATTCAGACTCCTTCCAGACAACTTGCAGTGGTATGGAGAGCCATTATGAAGGAAACAAAAAGCTTCCTCACCATTTAGTAATCTACGTCCACTTATATCACTATGGGTGTATGATCACTTCCAAATCAAAGTAAATCCATTTTAGTAGATTGTGAACTGGTCTGGTCAAGTAGTAACATTTAGTAAGTTATTCTTAAGTTAATATGATCATATTTCATAGTCAAGATTTTAATCTGTTTTGTAGGTGGTGAACCCATCTGGATCCCATTCAATTTTAGATACGATCCTACATACTCAGAATGCAGTGGAAAACAATATGTGAAACGGACGTGGTACAGGAAATTTGTAGGTGTTGTTCTTTGTAATTCATTGAGATACAAGATTTACCTCAGTGATGATCTAAGAGGTATGTATTTGGGTGATCTGTCAGCGCTGGACTAAGATATAGTAAAGCTTCGAAAATAAATGTGATTACCTTGTATGATTAAAATGTATCCAAACTATTGGCTGGAGTACAGTAAATAGTTCAGTCTTTTTTGCCCATTTCTTTTAATCCTATCCAAGATACATGCTGTATTGAAAACACTTTGGATTGTCTCCCAGTCAGTTTTAATAATTTGGGATAATCTGAAGTTCTGTTATTTGAGTTCTTTATCCACTTTCAAGTGAGTGAGATGGCAGCAGGAACAAAAAAAAGCCATATTTTGCAGTGTTAAAATTTTGATTTGGGTCCCCCTGCAAAGAGTTACAAGCCTGTGTCTTAGTAGACTATGGTATCATTCCATAATGCTTTGGTTTGAACAGTGCTATGTCCTAGTAAGATCATTCAAAAGATTTACACTTTGTCACATAATACAAAATGTCAGTTCAGTTTCAATCATTTCAGCTAAGTTCACCACAGTTTTGGAAATTTGGAGATTTCTCATTCCCTCACAATCCTTGAAAATCTGAGAACAACTACTTTATTTTCAGCAAGTGCATAATGAGATGCTGTAATGTTTTAACTCAGATTTAAATGGAATCAGTCCCATCGTTTTAAAAGGAAACATTACATATCAGAATCAGACCAAGAAGCAACAATTGTGTTTTAATTTTTAAATCATTATAGAAAACATTTTAAATGGGTTGTTTTTAGGGGAAGATGCTTAAAATAGTATGTGTGTAACCTAGAAGTTTTTTTTTTAAAAAAAAGTTATCATACAGTAGAAACAGAATGAAGTGGACTTAAGGGTTTACACATGGGGGGGGGGAAACTGCCTGGAAATAAACTCATTTACTCATCTCTAATTGTAATTCTTAGACTTGATTCTATTCAGTGAGTTAGAGAAGAATATTTCTGTATACATTCATGTATGCATTTTTGTACCATCTTCTGTTTTATGTGGAATAAGAATACTGCTACCTCATTTTAGTGCAAGTTCTTAATTATATACATATTAATTGCTCCTAACAAATTGAAAAAAGGTAACCACAGTACAAAAAGAGTGCTGCCAGCCCAATGGCAAATGTGCCACTTGAAGGCAAGAAACTTTAACTGTGATTCTCAGCCAACTATTTTTGACCAAATGCAGGAATGTTGGCAAGGACCACTGGTTCACTTTCATACTGTGCCAGTGGATTATTTCATTATAATGCTCCTATTATTGCAGAAATTCATAAATATAATAAATAAGTTACTACCAAGGAAGGGACAGGAGATTCTTCTCTCTGGATTTATAGTCTTGGTTGCAGCAAACACATTCTAAGTGTTTCTCACTTTTTTCCAGATATGTTTTACAGCATTGGGGATAGTTGGGGAAGAGGTGAAGATCACTGTCAGTTTGTAGATTCACACCTGGATGGACGAACAGGACCACAGTCCTATGTGAATGCTCTGCCTCCTATTCAAGGTAAAAATAAGTGCAACATTAATTTGATGGGGGTCTGGAGATTTACATTGCATACAAGTTGTAAAAGAAAGGCAGTTTATGTCTGGTTCTACAAAAACTGTGATTTTTGTAATATTAAAGTTGGACTTTCTGTTCCCAGGTCCCCCCAATGCATCAGCAAATATGTTCAGGCAGTTCAGTATTACAAGCCAGTCTTCCCTCAATGTATTCTCCACATCTATTGGGGTGTCAACTCCAAACCAGCAACAGAATTAGAGATGGAACACATTAGCAAAGCACCACGCTGGGGAAGCTTATGACAAATTATTTAATTTCCAGTCTAGGCAGTGACTGGCAAATGTTTTAGAACCTTGGCATTTTAGCACATTTAAGGAAATAACTTAATTACTGAAATGCTAGCTTCATGTCGTACTTTGCTTTCTATGCAAGAGTGAGTGATCCAGATAGGGCTGACTGTCGAAAAGAATCACAAAATATCCTGAAGTAATGGACATAGCACAGAAGACAGCATTCCAGGTAGCCCTCCATCCATGTGGAAAGGAGTGCTGAGAATTGTTAACATTTTAAACATTTCACTTCTTTCTACCGGCTTGTCTATCATTTGAAAATGGTTATCTTTAGTTTGATTCCTTTTGATTTCTTAATTTTACCCTTTTTTATTGCTAGCACTGATATTTCTGCCTTATGTGTTCTCTTCTTTCCATTGGTCACCTCTGATTGGTGGGGCAGAGCCAGAACACACCTCTGCAACTTTTTTCAGATTGCAGGAAAAATAGCAATAGCAATAGCACTTAGACTTATATACCACTTCACAGTGCTGTCTAAGCAGTTTACAGAGTCAGTATATTGTCCCCAACAATCTGGGTTCTCATTTTACCAATCTCAGAAGGATGAGAGATTGAGTCATCCTTGAGCTGGTGAGAATCAAACTGCTGAATTGCTGGCAGCTAGCAATTGGCAGAATTAGCCTGCAATACTAGATTCTAACCACTGCACCATCAAGGCTCTTAATGCTATGATCTGCTAAAACACTAGTGTAATTTTATTTACCTGGCAAGAGCCACTCCTACTTTAATACAAAGGACATGAAAGCATTATTGGTATTAATGGTACATCAGAACAGGGCACAGCTTTCTCTGCCTATTAGTTTGGAATAAGTCCCACTAACATGTGAAATGGCAAGCTTGTATTATGTGATACACAATGTTTCTGTCTCTTCAAATCGGCATATATTACTTTGGGTTGTTCTAATTCTCACAATAACCCAGACAGTGCCTTGGAATATAGCCACTCAATGCACTCAAGCAATTTTTAGAATGGAAATGCGGTTATGCAACATATTTCTATGGCCCTTATCTTGTCAGGCACAAACAATCAGAGCTACATGTGAAGGTTGGCTACTTTATTGTATTCTAGTTATAATACAAAAATCTGCTCAGACTACTTGCCTTCTCTTGGGAACAAACAGATAAGGTGCCATGGAACTTAGGAGAACTTAGGACTTTTGTGGATGCGCAATGACTCAAGACTAATTCCCTGCTTGATCCTTCCCTTTTGTCTGGCTGGTAGTTTTCCAACTGATCTACAGTTATAGAAGGAGATCTGTGTGGAAGATTGGTAGGGTATAAATGTAAAGATCTATCTGGATTCAACAACTTTCTTTCAGATTTGAAGTACAAGGCACCACTTCTTGCAGTAGCCAAGAAAGAAAGCCCAAACAATGAATTAATGAGTGAAAGAACTTCTATGTGTCAGAAAGAAATTAGGCTGGCCCCACACCACTACCATTTGTTTCAGAAAGGGGCCTTCAGTCAACAGCAAAACTGGAAAAATCTGTAATGTAGAAAGAGAAGTAACCAAATATCAAGTGATTATTGTTAACAGAGGCTACGCAGCAAAAAAGATGAAGAGGAATAAGAGCTGGTGATACACCCCAATAAGAAAGTTCACAAGAATTACAGGCCAAGAAACTTTACTTCCCTTCTACTTCAAACCTTCTGTATTCAGCAGTACAGTAAGAACAGTATTTAAGCTGCTTCTAGAACAGGATAAGTTTTATGCCATAAGAAATAACACAAGGAGAAAATTGGGTTTTTCTGAGGAATGCTCAGTTAGCCAAGTGTATCTCACTTCTTTTCCTCCATCTCCATTTTCTTTACAGTAATTAACTAATTATTGAACTAAAATTAAAATTATTAAGTAAAATTAATAAAGTAGTTACATCCCTCAATGTTAAGGTAGTAACTTCAATATTTTGGTTCCTTCAGGTTATTATCGCCAGTATCGACAAGAGCCTGTATCATTTGGACGCATTGGGTATATGACACCCTATTACTATGTGGGCTGGTATGAGTGTGGTGTAACAATTCCAGGGAAGTGGTAGCTGTGCTACGGTCCTCTGCAGATCGTAACCACAACTTTTGAATAACTACCATTGAAGGACTTGGAGCAACTGCATCTGGGAATGAAAGAAAACAAAAATCTCTCAAAGAAGAAACAAGAGAAGCTCACTGGAACTCAATGATGTCCTTATCCTAAATCAATGGTGCTGCTTGGTTATTTTGCTTCAGGACATATATAGGATGAATTTGGGGTTGTCCTGCCTTTTTCTCCTTGGTTCTAATAGGCCTGGGAACGTAACTGAAATGAGCAGTTATCTATGCTCAGTGAAGCCTAATATATTTGATTAACCACACAGAAAAAATGGAATTGTGATATATCTTGCAAGAAGATGACTTAAGCATGCTGTGCTTGCATTATGGAATGTTAACCACTTTCCACTGCTATTAATAGAATTCTTTGTTGTTATCCACTTTGGATTGTGAGCTTCAAAATGTTAGCTTACAGCTGCACTATGTTACAAAACGCCCCTGAAAACCAAATGGAAGTGTTGCTCACAACTTCTTCTGGGGGTTTGCACATGGCTGAACAAAATACCAGGTCACTCTGTAAATTCAGCTAACACAAACAATGAACAACCAGTACACTATAGTTGCAGAAATACTTTTTAAACTGAGATTTTGTAAAGAAAAGAATTTAGATAAATACGTTTATGGGTTAATGTTTATGTAAAAGGTGCTATTCATAACAAGTCTTCTGAAAATATTCTGTGAAAAATATACTATGCACAATACATTAATCATACATGACTCAGGCTTTTATTCTTGTAGATGGTGTTGAATTATAATGAAATAGAAAACATAGAAAAACAACAAGAAAAAAATGGGAAATTTCATCATCAAACTATTGAGTATGGCATGTTTCAGCAACAGTGGATTATTTGGTCCATATTCTAATGTGGCTAAGATTCCAACTTCAGTATAAATTTAACCAAGTGTACATTAAAGGTACTTTAGATGCTCTTTAAAGTCTAAATCACAAAGTTATTTAAGTGGAATAGAAAGAGAGTTTGATTTCAGTGAAGTATGCTTAATTTGCCGTATTATGTACATTTGCACCAAAAGAAGGCTACACAAAATCATGTGAGAAGGGTTAAAAAATTAATTCTACCTCTCTCTTCCCTTGCCCACATGGCCTCAGATATACCCTCCTTTCCATGGTGGTGATTTTTAAAGTACATGTTAAATGCAATATAGTATTTAATATCACAAGTAGTATACTCTGTCCCCTGGCTGCACATGTGCTTAAATTTGAAAATTTAGATCGAACATCAAGCCTTCAGTTGCTGAAAACTTTTTAGTCTTTTTCAAACAGACATTTATTTAACCTAAAAATCAAACTCTGAGAATTAATTCCACCAACCTGGTGGATTTGAGACTTATTTTTCATGAAAAACAATATCAAGTTACTTTTGAAGAGATGAGAGTTTCAAAACAGTTCACAATATTGCTTGGAAGTCACATGCTTCAAAAGAAGAAAAAAATGCAAGCGCTCCAACCGTAGCTTGAGTCACTCAGATTTTGAGTATCTCTTTTTTTTTTTTTTTCAGAAGCAAAGCCTCTCATCAACTATTTAGCACAGACCTTGACATTTTACTGCCCATGGACCATATCTGGCCTTTTGGCTGTCCCTGTCGTGCTTGTGGCATCAGTGGTATCAGCAGAGGGGGGAATGGGGGCATCAGCAAGATGGAGCAAAATGGCATCATCATTGGCAGGAAGCAGGGCAGAGGCAGGGCGACCCTCCACAACAGTTGCTCATGTGACCTCTTGGGAAAATTAATTGCCCACTCCTGATTTAGCATATAACCATATAGTATGCAGGACTTTCACATTTTAATTTATGTTGCTAACATCCTAATCCCATTAATATGGCAATACATTACTTGTTCTTTAAGAAGAGATATTTGAGATACTTTGCAGTTCTCCAGTGCACATGTGGAATCAAGCTGTTTATGTCACATCCTTCCTGTATAACCAAATTGTTAAAAATAATGATGTAGCCTCTTCTCAGATGAACCTTGTGAACACACAGAATTCTCATATGTGTTTAAAAAGTACAGGATGCAGATACAGCTGGATAGATACTAAACTGGTATTTAAATGTTAATTTCGCTTTCCAATTTATTATGCATCTTTTTTTAGTAGGCTGATGATGGCTTGCTTATTTAGACAGAGATCCTCCAACCTAGCTGGATGAAAATGTCTTCCTTCCCTATACTTCCTCTCTATTTAACATGGAAATTCTAAATAGAAAGTATAATTTTCTTGTATTGCACAATTGTATCAGTGTTGGTCAATTATAGCCATTCAACATCATGCCAAAATTACAGTAATGAGGACAAACTTTACATCTCTTTAGCATTGATTGGTTGACACTACATAATATTACAAGTAATCAATTGGAAATAGCTAAAGTCAGTATACTTTTTTATAGTAAATAACACTTTCTGATGCCACTTTATTGAGTAGTATCTCTCCATTAAAGACCAAATGTTTTGGGAAATAAAGCAACTGAAAAAAAAAATCATGAAGAACGCTTGATTTCAAACCAAACTAGCAGATTCTTCCAGCAATAAACAATAAAGAATTGGAAGCATCCACAGAGCTGGATGTAAATAACCAATTTCCAAAATGTGACAAAGTTTGTGGGCTTCCATGTTTATGAGCCCCATTTGATATTGCCAATGGGCAAATATGGCTACTGTGAAAACACTGGAAGGCAATGATTGATTATCATTATTTTTGATTTATGTCCATACTTTGCATATTGGATTTTACTTTTCATTTATCTCCATTAAAACCAGAATTGCATATTCCAGAGAGTGTTTCCTGTACCAATGCAATATTTTTCTAGAAAAAGTTAATTGAGGGTTTGTAGATGCAAACATTAGGCCTGGCACCAATATGCAATACTTTGATAGAGCAATTCAAGTCTTACAGAGCCTTGACATCACTGATAAGTCCTTATTACTGATCCATAGGATTAACCTAAACTTAGCTCTCTGGGACATTGTGTAAATGTAATGGCAGACAAATCCTAAACAGAGGATACTGATAAGTGTTTGAGGCACTACTTCTCAATGTGGTTGCCAGATCTGTTTTCATGGGTGGTCCTGAGGACAGCAGGGAAGAGTGTATAATGATATATTGAATGATGCCATAGTAACTTGTAGTCGGAAACTCTGTACAAGATTTGCTAATGTAGGAAACCTCCTCCTTCAAAGCAGATTTCATTGACCTCCTGTTTAAACCTGGAATTCTTTTTTTGGAACATAAATGGTGCATAACAAGTCACTACTATAATCCAAAAGTTCATGAACTGTCCCAAATAGGACCATATGAGCTTTTTCTTGAAAATCACTAGAAAGTTTAAGTCATGGAGGAACTGAGGAATTCTGGGAGTTGAAGTCCACATATCTTAAAGTTGCCAAATTTGAAAAACACTGGTTTATGTCTCCAGCACGTGAAACACTCATAGTTAAGTGCTTTCTGGCAGCCTCCATCCGAGAACAATAACTGTAAAACATCCCTGAGTTGCTAAGACCCTACAGTCTTCCCAAATAATCAAGCAAGTTGGCTATACTTCCAAGAGAGACTGGCTTAAGGGATCCATCCTGTTTAAAAAAACCACCAAACACTTTCCATTCAATAATGTTTTCCCAACATAGACGGAACTTGATTTTCTGCCATCTGCTGCTTTTGGAATGCAGTGCAAAACAGAAGGGTAGGATTCCCGGGTGAAAGTATGGTAACAGTATGTAAATTGTGGGAGTTAATAAGCAGCACAAATATAGGAGATCCTTCTCTATTACAACTTATTTTTATTTTTTCCACCTTTTCTAGCAGCGTCTTGGAAAAAAAGAACACTTCTGGAATATTCACCATTTTTTTAGTCAAGCTATTTCCTGCTACCTTCCTATATTTTATACTGCGGATTTCAACACATTCAATATATGAAGACAGCAGGTAATTTATCTCTACTACCAAACATCCCAATGCACTCTGTAATAAAATGACTTATTACAAAAATTCCATTTTCTTTTGCTTTGACAGTAGCCTTTCATTTGCCACAATTGATATATTATTAATGGAAATACCAATTTCCCTTGAGTTCAACTGTCGTTCTGACTGTTTTCAGGCCTCTTTGCAACCATATTCAGCAATATTTCTTTCTTTTCCTCTCATCACATCTTTCTAAAGAGACCATGTGAAGCCTGCCATTTAAGCTGATCGCTCTATTTTCATAGATAAGAGATTTTTTGGAAACAGACTCAGCAGTACAAGTCACCATTTTCCTTTGTTTGTTTGAAGTGCCGGTATTATGTCCATAAGCTCTAAAATAAAATAACTTGCAAATATTTGGTCCTACAGTAATCTATATTCTACATCTGATACTATGAAGGATAAATGTCCTCTGGGAGATCTTCCAGTTGTATATGCAGTCAGTTAGTTGGGTGGGATGAACAGCCCATGTAGGGGAGATGAGCGGCATAGAAATAAATAAAATAAATACATTCTGATATTCCTGAGGGCTACTGGTGCTGAATCTATGTAGAAATGCTGCTTCAGAAATAGCAATTTCTGCTCTTGTTGGAGAATATTCTTGGTTTGCCACACTTCATGGATCATGCTAGAGCAGCGGTGTCCAACCTTGACAACTTTAAGACCCGTTGACTTTAACTCCCAGAATTCCCCAGCACCCATGGGGATTCTGGGAGTTGAAAGTTGCCAAGTCTTAAAGTTGCCAAGGTTGGACACCCCTGCATTAGAGCTGCATTCTGGCCTAGCTAAGGGAATCCAGGTATGGAATTGCTAGCCCAGTGGGACAGCATGAGAAACCAGAAGGCATCAGAAATTTGCCATGGGAAAATTAAAGGTACACGTAGAGTTACCATATTTCTGAACAGGTAAAAGAGGAGACTGGCAATTGGAAAGAAGAACAAATGGGGGAAAGGAGAAGAAGCTGCCTGTTTAATATTTGTGTTTATTTTCACAGGAAAGGATTACAAGTGAGTAGGCAGGAACATAATGGGGAATAGGGTACATCTTGAGAAGAATATATTAAGGCCAGTTAGGAGGCAAAAGCCTTCAGCACCTAGCTGATTACATTTCAGGCAGCAGTCCAAGCTAGGAGGAGGTTACTAATCAACTAATTAAGGTCACAGAACAGACCTCTTATTCTGGGAGTGCTCCACCAGACAAAAGTGGCTCAGGAAAATATAAGCTTGTTAAATGCTCAACAATTTAGATAAGATTTGCTTTCAAGGCTATGCCTGTCAGAGAAGATGAGGATATGTCTTTCTTTTGCCAGATGTCTGATAACCCTGGATGCACGGGAACATATACTACTTTGTTTTGAAAACAAAGCCTGAAGAGATGTATAGTTCTGGACCTGAGTAAGATTAAATAGTCAGAAAAGGTCTAGCTAGCAACTGATGGGCTGGTTTTGCTCTGTGCTTAGCAAGAGCAGAAAGCTGGCTTGAATGGTAAGCATTGATTGGGGGTTCTCCACAAGCTCTAGTCGCACAAAAATATTAACATGCCTATGTGCGTGTAAGGTCCAGTTTTCCAAACAAATCTAAAAATAGTTAAAACAATTCAGCTCAGCCCCAGGTGTTTTTTAATTTTGATTCAGCAGAGTTGGAAGATGGAAAGAGTTAGTCATCTGGAAGAGTTTATAATTCAGAAATATATTCAGGTGTACTTGATCAAACTCAGAGATGTATAACTTTCAATATTC